GGGGTGGGGGTGGGGGATGCAACACTGAAGCAGGAAATAGACAAACATGAGCATTATTTTAAAGTTATAAAGGTAAAAATTGGTTATCAATGGCGCAATCCATGATGTTGTGAATGTCACAAACGAATATTGTACTTCTCGTTGGAATTATGTTGGCAACGAACTCACTGGCAATGAACTCACATTAACAAAGTACACGGTTCATGTACAGTGACTGTGTTTCAAGGTCAACCCAAGGACATCCACGGGATGGATTCGTATATGTGACATGCTGTGTCCATGAACAATGAAATGCTGCATATCGATAGCTGAACGGAGTACGTAAAATAAACATGTTTCATTGTTAGAACCAACTTCCTTAAAATTAAATGTGCTGCTTTTGTCATTGTCATCATCTATTTTGTTAGGAAATTCAATATTTGAGAAAACGTTTGGCGCCTCTTCATCGGCCCATTTGTGTCAAAGATTACCTATCTATATAAGTAAATAATAGAAATACACGGATAAGATTATCAGGTCAGCTCCCTGCTATCCATCCTTGATCTAATTGATAGCTACATCAAATTCCTGTACTCGCTGCACCTGTGTCACCGAGCCAGCTAAACTAGACATTGCAGTCTTGGGAAGACGGATGTAATACTTCAAAATGGACAATGTGACTCTGCATAATAGTTGTTATGTCTTTCCATGCTCCCCGAAATGATTTTCTAATAACTCTCACAACAAAAATAAAATGATCTTTGTTGGATGAGGCAACTATCCCCGTGTTCTGCTTCTGCGGACTGTTTCCGTACGCTGGAGGACTGTTGACGGAGTTTCCCATCAAACTATAACAACACTTTTGTGGGGTATTGTTATACAATTTGAAAAGTAAAAGTTCTGGAGATGTTGTATGGTCCAAATATAAATCTATTAAAATAACTTTCTCTAGGTCGGTGGATGATTTCTGGAGTATCCAAAAACACACCCGTACAGTCCGATGCCTAGCTCCTAACTGATTACCAAACATGTAGAACCGTGATACATTGACAATTAACACAATAAAGTTAATTTGATCGACAGCTGTCACTTATCTCTCTATTCTGACTGGTGAGTACCCGAACAGGTAAGGCAATTAGCCTGTCCTTTGTCCGAGACTTAAGTGTCATACTTGGTAAGACCAGTTAATCTCATTACGTAACATAATTGACTTGAAAGGTATAATGTATAAGATGGACACCAATATTACATGAGTTAATCTGACGACAATGAATCAAAGAAGCTACATTTACACATAGAGGTTTTCTTAAATGGTACAAATGTAATTAAATAGCTTTTAGGTATGAAATTGTTACTGAACGAAATTAAATGGCGGAAGTTTGTAAGAGGAAATCCAAAATAATGAATGAGATGAAATGTTAAATTAATGTTCATAAATAGCACTATTATCATAAAATTCTTTATGATAAAACTATGAGCAGCAAGTTTCCATATTAATATGAGTTTCATAATGTACGAATCGAACTGTATAATCTACATCGCTGTAAGCTGGAGATGTTTCGATTCTATTTCGTTTATTTGATTACTCACGGGACTAAAACAATACTACATTAATCAAGTTACATGTAATGGCCATTATCATGTAATGTAGTTACTCTCAATACCTTTTGGGTGGTCGGGTGGCGCAGTGGATAACGCCTTTCACCAAGGCGACCGCGGTTCGGTTCCCCGAGCGGAGGTATGGGTCATCTGCCCGATCACATTGGTTTCCCGGCTCCCGGTTTTCTCCCGGTTTCTCCCGGTTTTCTATCCGACGATGCAAGACCCCCTTCGCGCTAATTTCCCGGCCAACAAGAGTGCTTAATATAAGTTTAAATAACTTTTTGTTTCATAATTGTTGTAAAGAAATGTTTTAACCTTCCTCAATTAAGCTTGTTTGTTTTATTTTTGCTTATATAGAAAGGAACCTTGAATGAATTTCTAAACTTAACTGAATGCCATACACACGTAAAAGTTCCGTTTAACTTTAAAGGTAATTGGAATGGGTATTGAAATCAAATTTGAATGTATGCTCCAATAATTCACTAAAACTGGATTAGAACAACATTCAAACAGGATGAAGCGACGAAAAGTCTTTCTCTTATATATATAAAAAAAAACTATTAAAGAAATGCAGTAAAAACTCATTTACACCCAAGCTATTCTTGCTTGAAATGAAAATCTACACTTGGACGATTTAAAAAACAGAAACCGAATAGACTAAACTGGATAAATATTAGTCAGAACGTCGCTAAGATTAACTATGTTTAAAAATGGCATTTCCCATGTCAATCTCAGTTATCTGTTTATTATAACTTTGGAGACAGGCAACTACGTATCATTCGCACTCAAATGAGGAACAAGTGGAAATCGTTTAAGTATGATTTATTCGGGGGAAATCTGGCAGAAAACCCCGAGTGTATATTACTGTGGTCAATACTGTGGTCACTCCTGTGAGAATTCGTATCGCTTCTTTTCGACTTTACAATCTTAACTCACCAGAGGTGGAAACTGATTCATACTTTAAACACACTGGGATGTTGACAATGAATTCAGTTTAATTTTGCTTTTTTTATTGAAACCATCACAGCAGCATTATATTCTGATTAATAAAATTGGCAAACCTTTACCTCTACGAACAAGGAGAACATCCGTAAAACAAATCTTGAATACGTTTTCTGTGTCTTCCATATTTGGCATTATATCTATGGCAATAAAAATGTTTATCTTAATCAGATACGTATATATACTGGAATTGTATGCCTCTGTCTAAATCCTCAAGTCATTTTTTTTTCTTAAATAGGGAAGCGGCCAAACGGTCGATTTTATCATATAAATTAATGGAGTTGGAAGTACAGTAATGTTTCTAATCTGGAATGATTCAGTGCTCATTGGTTATTACTTTGCTAAGAGAAATCAACTTCTAAACAACCTACCATCAGCGGTATGCATATATATTCAGTGGCATGCCACCTTCTGAATTATCTGCCCTTGGATACAGAAGCAAAAACGAAAATGGCGGCAGATGTGAACTGAGTAGGAATGTCGAAAAGCTCCAGTGCATTTTAAACAAATCTATCAGAGAAATAATGTTATGTAACTAGCCAACAGTTCATCTGTATAACCTCAGTGATTTATCATAGGTAATATTCACGTTACAAGATACAAGGTCAAGTTCATACTGTTTTCGCAACGCCTTCATCAAGGCGCTGGTCACACTGATATCATTATGGCCACTTGGTGTGTTTATTGGTGATAGGCAATCGGTTTAAAATCATAATCGAAAATCGGATTGTAATGGGAAATAGTAAACGGTTCGACAATCGATAGCGTTATCGGTTTATACTGTTATGGGACTGAAAACCCAAATAAAGTGGAAACACTATTGACATCAACAGACACAGGAGTCTGACGGTTTTTGTAATCAATGTAAAAATGTGTAATTATATATATATATATATAAGCTTATATAAAAAAAATACCCCTTATGATATAAAAAACACAAGAGGTATTTCTTTGTATATACAGATTGTTATACTTATATTGATAAACGTCATGAGACTCCTGTGAATAAACACTAGTGGTTTTTTTACCTATGGTTTACAACAGCCTGTTCCATTTGTACAAGTTTTGTCCAATAAAATTTGTTGAAATGAAACAGCCTGTTCCATTATGAATTGGGAACAGAATCTAGCATCATATTTTATTGAAATTGGGAACATGTTTCTCATTTATTGGTCATTTTGGGAAAATATTTTAATAAAAAAAACTCTTAATAAGTCATGTTCTTTTAGAACAATTTTATTCAAAGAATATTACGTATTTTTAACGACAATGTGGTGTTTATTAAAAGATACCCTGTAACACTTAAGTTGAAAGCAAAAGCTCCACAATACCTGTAGCCAGATGGTCTCCAGCTGAACTAGTGGTTCTAAAAAATTGCTAGCCTGATTGACAAGTCAAAATTTGATATTAATTATGTTGAATGATATTGGGTAAGCAAATTTTGCACATGGACTAGTGAAATTGGAAACTATTAGGCAGACCGACTAGTGGTTATCAAAATGAATTTCTAGCACTTTCAAAGGAAATCATGACTTAAGATAGGCAAAACATTTTTGACAAAACACCAGTGACCACAAAAGACTTTCAAACGAAAACCTGTCTCTGTGGAGATGTGTTCGGAGAGAGATCTCACTGTTTGAGGATTTCAAAGTTTGACATGTATGTGTTAAAAGTTATACTAGCCACTTAGTAAACCTTCAAGCAGCTGGAGAAATGAGATATTGAGATAATTGTGCCACCAAGTCCTTGTCCAGTTATGAGGTCACCCATGTACCAGTTATCTTAATGGCTTGTGGTGACGGAGAGTTATTGGGTTGGAGTGGTGTTCAAAGACAAAAACATTTTAAAAGAGAGGAGTAATGTGGTATGCTTTAATTGTACATACTAAAGTGTTTTCCCTTTATTTAAAACAAGTGGGGGCAGGTTTGATAAGTGGTGCTATTATAGCAAACTGGACTGGGTCTATCGTCGGCGACCAGGTAGCTCAGTTGGTAGAGCATCCATCTAGACTTTGCAATTGGAGAGTCCCAGGTTCGAACCCTGGTCTGGCTGTGCATTTTTCCTCTCCTGTGGCACTATAAAGGCACAGTTTCAGTATAAGATGGGGACGTACACAATTCCATTATATGGAGAAAAAATTGATAGTGGATGATCATGGTTGCCTTCTAGCTTTTGGCTGGGAGAAGTTTCCTTACAGCTCATCAGTAGAGCAGACAACTAAAAAGTATAGGATCACTGATTTAATACTCAGCAGAGGTTATTATATATCATATATAATTTGTTAAAATGAAGTTTCAGAACATGTTGTAAAATTGCATTGGTTTGGACAATGAAGTTAACCATGCTGTTTCGGGCACAATTTACCATCGTTGATTTGATTTAAGACTTTGCTGATCAGATTGTGATATAATAATGATAAAGTAATCTAGGTCCTGATATGTATGATACTTTTCTATAGACTGAGATTATAGGGATTATAGATACCATGTTAAGCTGGTAACCAACTGTACTCGTCCACAACCCCATCCCTTCCTCTTAACTCATTCACCCTTGAAATTTCATAATGACCTATTCCAACCTGTGAATTGGAAGATTTCAAATGTGTCTTCAGAGGTGAATGAGTTAATGTAACATCTAAGACATCACCTTGGACTACAGTGTAAATTAGGTACCCCTTTTTATCACTCAATGTCCAGTGATGGTGTATACTAGAGTACAGGACAGTAATTTAACTGATATAACATAATTTATTGGGATACAAATATTGTGCACTGCAAAATCACACTAGCCTGAACTGAAAACTGAATACATTTTGAAAAATAATCCTTATCATTTATCCCATTCATTGCCATGTTAAATGAATTCACCTAAAATAACTTAAAAGTTGCAATTAATAGGTAGTTGAGTGTTTATGTTTTATGTAAACATTTTGTACAGAAAATATTCAAGTAACAATTGTTGCCGCTGTGATTTTTGGGACAATTATTTGAGTCCTAGACTTACGCTTAGGATTCACACACATTTTGAGAACTGACATTATATTTTTATGATGGAAATTATCAACATTTCAAACTTGAAGTTCCGGTGTAATATATATTCTCCATATGCTTGGTTAAATAGTATATTGATATCTAAACTTTTTCGTACAAATTAAAAATATATACAGCCTCATTTTCTTTCACAAATTGCAATTTAGTTGATGTTGTATATATACACATTAAAATATAATAAATTGAATCTTCCAGAAAGCAGCAAGTTTCTGTACCAGCCAGGGACAGTGTATGAGTTTCGCTATGAGGGTAAGACGTCTACTGGTATACATGGGGCGTCGGAGGACAATGCCGGTTTGAAGATAACTTCAAATGTCTTAATAGGAGTAATCTCCAAGTGTGAATTGACATTAGAGGTAAGATTTAGATTTGACTTCATCTTTTCATGATTTTATAAGGGATGTAAACTCGCAATAATATGTAGCATATTTATCTTCCATCAAGAGGTTATTTTAATGAAATTTTGTATCAACTGTGTCAATTATATACAACAGGACGTTTTCTAATTCTAGGGTTCCAAAGAGTACAGTTAAGTACTCAACTCCTAGTTAACGCTTTCCCCCCTAATATTAGTATAATTCTTCCAGTTAAGTGCTGTTTTTAACAATTGCTTCAAAAGAGATTTGGGTTATTACAAAACACACAATTCTAACATTTATTACCAGGCTGGTTATGTGTGTATTACCAACAGAAATGAAAACTTGAACTTGAACAAAATAATTTCATTAAGTGTAATATTGTATTTTTCCAATTTTAATGCAATCAACACATTTTTTCAATCAAGGTTCCTTTCCCAATAAAATAAGGAAAAGCATTACTACAATCTTTAACATTTATGTCAAATTACCAGTATTTAAAGTAAATTTGTAAGCTTTAAAATCTTTAATTTTTTCCCCTTTTATGACCATAGTTATCTAACTTTGTTTTGTGATGTTGATATTTCATATATGATTAGTAGTACAATCTTATTGTTTTAATTTTTAATAGTGCTTTTTATTTTATATTTATTCAGCTTTCAAATACAGTTTTATATGGAGCTGATCCTGATCGATCAGTTCGACTTCGAAGGCACAGTGATTCACGGGAATTTAAAAGAGCATTACAAAATAGCCCGTTGCGGTTCTCCTTCCAAGACGGTATCATAGATCAGCTGTGTCCCAGTGATGATGAACCGACATGGGTCCTGAACATCAAGCGAGGAATCTTGTCTGCATTTCAAAATGGAATGGAATCTCTTGACAGCAACCATGAGGTTTCTGAGGTGAGCATGTAAGAGGGATGTGTACAGTTCTGTCAATCCTCCTGCTTAAGAAGATTGGTTGTGATTAGATCGATAATAAGGTCACATTTCAGAGATTTTTTTGAAGGCAAACTTTGGGACCTTATAAAGGCCCCTTCCTCTAGGAAGTTTCTTCTGTATTTTCCCAAAATCAATGCAAAATATCATGTTTTTCCCAAAAATCCAGCTTTTTGTACCTGATATTTTCCGAAGTCACAAGGCACAGGCCCCTTTGTAAAGTAGGTAAACAAATTTCTGCATTTTAATGAAAAAGAAGCAATCTGTCTCCTGAAACATTGATGAGATATTCTAGCAGAACTGGACTGGATTTCTTTTACCATATCATTTTCTCATCAAATGCTTCTATATAGAGGCCGGCATAAACTTTTGTTTGTCTACCAATCTCCTCCTACATTTTTCGACTGATCTGTTTGAAACTTAGTATTCATTATAATCATGATATGAAGTTGTGTCTCCCTTAAAAGAATTTTGATTCAACAATTTTCCAAAAGTTATTGCCCTTTGTTTATTTTAGTATTTGATTTTTTTGTTCAGAGATCTCCTCCTACATTTTTTTGACGGATTTCTTTTGAAACTTAGTAGGCTAAATAATCATGATATGTTGTTGTGTTTCCTTGAAAAGAATTTTGATTCAACAATTTTTGCAAAAGTTATTGCCCTTTGTTTATTTCAGTATTTGATTTTTGTCCGGCAATCTCCTCCTACATTTTCAACGGATCTCTTTGATACTTGGTATACGTTATAATCATGATATGAAGTTGTGTCTCCCTCAAAAGAATTTCGATTTGACGATTTTTGCAAAAGTTATTGCCCTTTGTTCATTTCAGTATTTGATTTTTTGTCCAGAGATTTACCATGTATTGGTAAAGAACTGGCCTCGTCTGAAGTAATCACTTTTCATATTTGCCTAGTTCTTTACCATGAAAGGATGGTCATAGATGGTCAAAATACAGGTCAAGCCTACTGTTAAAGGCCATTTCAGCTTATAAACTTTTCAGCCATCATTATCAATAATAATATTTAAACTGTTATAATTTGCCTTTTAGTATTGTAGTGTGTTTTGAGGAACATTGTAATGCATATATTTGAAGCTTTAAAAAGGTACTTTTTTAGTCTTTTAATTATTGAGCTTAGCAATGCAAATAGTATAGGAAATTCCAATTAGTCAATTAGTCGAACTATACCCGAGTGGAATAAACTCCCACCTGACATTATTTCGAGCCCCACAAGAATTATTCAAATCAGCCCTCTACCGTCACCTTTCAAACGCAAATTAGACCATCTCGTATCTTTTAAAAACAATCTCTTTCCATGTTTCACTCCTCGTCTGACATTTTATCTTCAAATTGTTGAAGTTGGTCTGTACCATTTAGAAGTAGAAGAAGGGTGATTTACAGGTTGACCTGCATAGACACAAGTGACCTATCAGGTGTGACTTTTTAGTATTGAAGAATTTGACATGATTTAGATTTACTCAGAGGTCTTCAATTTCATATTTAACATACCCGGTACTAGCCCAAAAACAGATTTTGATAAAACATACCAGCCTGACCTATATATGTAACCTTCATAGTAATAATGTTGAACATTTTCATTAGCCCAATCAAAAATCTACTAGCCCCGGGTTTGAGCTAATGAAATTAAACACCCTTGACTAAAAAGTAAATATTCTTTTTTAAGTTTGTTTTGATATTCATAAAAGTTTGAATTTATGATTTAACAATGATATGTTCTTTTTTAGACTGATGTTACGGGAAAATGCCCCACCACATATAAAATGATCCAAGACGGATGGAAGACGAGGACAGTGAAGAAGACCAAGGATATAGATGCGTGCACAGAACGCCATGGCTTAGACAGTTCAGCTCACTCTATGCTTTACAGAGTTCCATCCGTAAGAGTTTATACAAAATTTATAAGATGGCGATTTTCTGTTTGAGTCCCTCTTTAAGATGTTCTGATGATCTAGTTCTGTCAAAATTTCTTGATTTTGATCTTTCAATAACAACAAATAAAACCTATCAAATTTCCCCCTGTATCTTCTCATATTAAAGAAATTCACAAATGTGACGGTACCTTCTACATTATTTATTTATATAATTTGCTTATATAGGTACAGCTGTTACACACGTTAAAACTGTGTTGTAGAGGTACATAAGGCTAAAATGCAGGAGAAAAAAATCTGCTAAAGGTGTTTTTTTAAATTCATATATTGAAGCAAATGCTTGTCAGGATGTGTATTGAAAAGTGAAACATTTTAAAAAATTGTTTAAAAACAGGTTTACACACTGATATACATGAAGATTCATAAATTTTATGTCTTCATTTTATTTTCAGAGCATACAGAGTTTACCATTGTTGAAAAGCACACACGAATGTAGTCAGGATTTTAATGTTCAAGAGAAAATTTTAAAGCGTAGCATCTGTCATGAGATACATTTGTTCCGCCCATTTTCCAAAGAAGACAATGGGGCTACAACAGAAGTAGTACAGAAACTAACATTTGTGTCGAGTAGTAGTGGCACAGTAACACAAGGTGAGGAAACAGCCCAAGGAGTATCATATGTGTCAATTATTTGGTCTCAGTTATTTTATCTCCGGGCTCATATTCATGAAACGCTTCTCATGCTCCAGCATTGACTTTGTGCTCAAGCCTAATTTCTTGTTTCAGTTGTAAGTTTATAAATAAGAGTCATGATTTGGACAAAAGTCGAAGAGACTTGAAGTCGAATACTGTTTTCAATGTTTACACTTGACTTTTTGATCGTTTGACATGATTTAAGTGAGTTATAAGAAAACTGGTTTGAGCACAGAATCTGTGCTTCAGTATGAGAACTGTTTCATGTATATGGGCCCTGGGCTCCTGACACACGGTCAGCTATTATTAATAGGGTTTTCAACATGGATAATTCCAAGTTCTTAACCAAGTTGAACAAAAATTAGTTGTACTTGAACTTCACTTAATATCAACAGTGCACGTTTCTTATCTTAGAAACTGAACATGGCTACAAATAACAATAATGAAAATCTTACAAGGAAAACTCCACATTTGATCTGCTGTTATTCAAATGTTAAAACAGTTGAAATTATAAATTGTTAATATATTTCAATATTGTGGTTAAGAAGTAAACTAACATTGTTGAAATTTGATACAAAAAATGACATTTAAAAGTTATGAAATTGATGAATTAAATGCTGTTTTATAATAATTGTGCATGTTTATCGTACATCCCAAATTTGCTGTAATAAAATTTCATATATTGTACAGCTGACATCAGTAGGAAGGAGACCATTTTATTTGAGCACGAAGGTGGTGAGCGAGGAACCACAGTGAATTACCAGTCAGCCTTGTCTAAACTCAGCGAGCTGTGTACCTCCACGCAGACAGACATCCGTCCAGACACGCCCAGGGCATTCTCTGAGCTAGTGTACGAGCTCAAAAAGCTTGACTCCTCCTCTCTTAACTCGGTGTTCCGACAAGTCAGTGACCCAACCTTCTGTCCTGACAACGCCGAGCGTGTCAAGTGAGTTTACTTTTTGAAAAGATGAAAAAATATTTAAATGTTTTGCTGTTACTTCCAACAATGACACTTTATATTAGACATTTTTGTCAATGAAATGTTTTACATATTTATTTGGTCACTTATTTGTGTTTTAGAATGTTAAGGTGGGGTCAACATTTGGCCCCCACTTTGACTTCTTTTATTCTTTTGCCATATGTAGATACATAAAAATGATCAATAACTGCATAAATAATTATTCATAATTACTACTGATAACCTTTTAATAGTGGACCTCCTTGCATAACGCCAGGTTGAGTGACGGGGGTATCCTAACAAAATGACCGATAAATGTCACAGGCAAATGTTATTTTGAAAATGAATTATGATAAGTGTATAGTGTATAAAATATATATATTCTGTCTACAGAATCATTTGGATGTAATATTAAAACCGGTAAAGTACTCTTTTAGCAAGCCAAACAAGATCAATCTCCAGTTTCACATAATCATGGAGATTTGAGTATCAATGTTTATTATGGTAAATACCGATACATTTGCTGTTTTTGTATCATACGAAAACACTTTATTATATTAAACATGTTTTAAAGTTATGTCCAGCAGTAATAACTCATGTATTCTGCCAAAGTAATCTTTCCTCTGGATAACTACTAAAGGTTGAGATTGTGTTATAGACAAAGATATGCAATTATATAAAAGCAATAATAATCTTAATAGTAAAACTGTTATACACGATATTATACCCCCGCAACGAAGTAGGGGGGGGGGGGGGGGGGGGTATACTGCTGGAATCGGATTATCCGTCCATCTGTCTGTCCATAAATAAAGTTTGTCCGAACACTCCTTCTAAAGTAATGGACAACAGGTCTTGGCCATTTGTAGCCGATGTTATTTTCTTGCAATCATTTACTCTGTTCTTGATCTGGCAGGCCATTCTATCCCGTCAGACAAATATTCTGGTTCAGATGACCTAAACCCTGATCAGACTTTCTGACATAAGAGGTGTTTCAATCTGACCCTTTTTTAAGGAGTAATGGCCCTTTGTTGAAAAAAACATGTCCTGACAACGTTAGTTTACAGATATGGTAACTGCATCCTGACATTGTGCATCCAAGTAGTATGTTTTCATTCCAACCCTTTGAAAGGAGTTCTGGCCCTTTGTCTGCCTCATAAACTACTGGGCCGATTTAAATGAAAGCTTACAGATATGGTAATTACCCCTAATGTTGTGCAACAGGGTAGTATTTTTCCATTTCGACCCTTTTTAAGGAGTTATGGCCTTTTGGTAAAAATCTTTGTCTTGACATCTCTTCCTTTACTACTAGGACGATTTCAGCAAAACTGGTTNGGGGGGGGGGGGGGGGGGGTATTAGTTAGTCTTTGACTTCTATTATTATAAGATATTATTAGTAGCCAACTTTTAAGCAAATTTAAAAAATAGACTCGTTTTAGAACTATGTGAATTAACGTGTCAAAAATGGAAGTTTTCACATTAGTTATGAAATTTCACATTTTTTCCAGCTTAAATCTTCAATAAAAAGAAGAAAAAAATCTTGAAATATTTTAACATTCAGTATCAAAATAACAGTTGGAATATGTTGCACAGGATGATGATATAATTTTATAGTAATTGTGTCATTTAAATGCTCTAGGTGGAATTGTACCACACCTTTAACACCCACACAGGTGTAAGTCAATGAGGTCCCATTTATCATTCAATTAATTTTGAAACTAACCGTTCCTGATTTAAGCTTCTTATACCCATACCTTTTTGGATTTAACTTGTTTTGAAATTCCAAATGGGGGGCAACGCTAACGCAAAATCTCCATAGGCAATGACCCTACCTTTCCATCGTAGTTTTTTGCCATTGTTGCTTTAGGTTTATTTGGGCCACGTATCGGAAATTTGGTTGTCCTTGAGTAATCATGGTGACTGTCCGTTCACAATTTTGTTCTGGAGATTATCTCAGAATCCAAAAGTGTGAAGTTTCTCAAGTTTTACACGAAGATACACTGTAGATGTAGGACAGAGGTTTAAACATGTTCCAAAGTTCAAGGTCACTGTTACTTAAATAGAATACATTATGAAAAATACATTGTAATGCCCTTTACCTACCAGTGTTTACTGTATTTGGTAGATATCCATATAAATAGCGCCATATTCCTAGGATCTTGAAATGTAAGATTACTGTTTCTGACTTGTTAGTCTTTATTTTGATGGCAAGTAGAGGAATATCCTATATTAATGATGCCATGGCCACATGTAGATGCTTCTGATTGGTCAAGACATATACAACAATAACTTTTGTTCTGTTGGTACAGTTTTGTTAATACTTCATGGTAGATGGATCTACATTCCTTATGAAGAAAATTGTATGCAGTCCCCATAATCCAATATGGCTGCCATTGCATCTGATTGGCCCTTATGGGCTATACATTCAGGTCTTCTGGTCTGATTTACATGTAGTTCACAGTTGGTGGTACATGGTACTTGTGCAATATTGTTTGTAATGTCTTTTTATCCATATTTTGAATTCCAAGTTGATCATTGTAGCACCTGCTTGGCAATTATGGGGATATACATTTATAAACTGTAAGGCAAACAACCAGTGTTCTAGTTGTTGTGTAAGAAAGGTTATTGCCATTGTTGTGTAAGAAAGGTTATTGCCATTGTTGTGTAAGAAAGGTTATTGCCATTGTTGTTACAGGAAGTTTTACCTGGATGCCATCCCAATGGTAGGCACGGGAGCTGCAGTCAGTCAGATCACGGAGAGAATTATGAACAACGACATCTCAGCAAGTTTTGTAGAAATGTGGCTAGCATCTCTTTCGTTTGTCCAACATCCAACTAAGGAAATGCTTGCAGAAGTCATGGTAAGAACATTTTTGATGCAATCGGTCAGTTTAGTAAACTAAAGTGCAAGAGGGTTGGTGATGTAGGTCATGTATATATTATTTTTTTTGAAGCCTATGACAAGAGTGAAGGTTGTTTCTGTGGCCTCTTCAGTAAATAGTTTAAGTTAATTTTGTATGTAACTATCACATAATTTTGTTTGTAAAACCTATATTAACCAAGATAATCTTTCTTTCATTATGACTTGAACTCAAAGAATGACATTGCAGTCAGAAATTTCGAAACTAAAGTTTTAGATTTTCATGTAGAGTAGAACTAAATGACACTATTGCTAGAAATAAAAGCAATACACTAACTACTTGATGAATGTGTGTACAGAGACTACTGGACATGCCTAATGGTGACAAGGTGATCCTGCCCGTGTCTGCCCTGGTCCACAGCTACTGCAGAGACAACCCACAGTGTGGTGACGACATGGAGGTGGATGACATCATGATCTGGTTGGAAAACAAAATAGGTCGTAACTGTCAATACACTGACAATACTTACATGCAGGTACAGAATTCATAGAAATTTGTTCGCAATACCATTATGAATTGTCTACAAATTATGTTTAGACTTTAAACTGTATTCTCCATAGACTGTTTTTGTGTGCTGGTACTTGTTTATGTCTTTTTTGCATTAAAATTTCCTGCTATGCATCAATTTTCCTCTTAATTATTCAATTTTGCCATCAAGCTACAATTTAAACTTCAAACTGTATTCACCACTCACTGTTTTTATTCTAACTGACAAACAGTACTGTAATACATGAATTTTGAGCAACTACGCATGGAAATTTCCTGTTGCGCATCAATTTCGCTCTTAATTATTCAATTTTGCCATCACCCTTTGAACTCCTTTTATGAAACTTTAGATGTATGATGACTTTGTACTGGGATGTCTCCGATGGATTACAAGTGTAGCAGTAGACACAGATGAATGATTGTGGCACTATGGCTTCTAAATCAAAATCTGAATATTTCCTGTGATATCCAAAACTTCACATAGGCTGCCTTTTTTCATCTTATGAATACATATTGATGATCTTGTTAAATCAATCATCAACAACATTTTCTACATTAAAAAAGATTTTAGTGTTAAGTATATAACACAGTAAAGTATATGTGGTGTATTATTACTGTGTAAGGTCTTCACCAGGCTAAGAATATATCAAAATATTCTAATTATTCTAGGTATTGCTGTCCCTCAGAGCTGTGGGTAACGTTGGCCTGTCTCGGTCAATCATCCCCAATCTCAACCAATGTTCTGAGTCCGTCCAAGCTACGATGGAGATGAGGCTGGCAGCTGTGGAGGCGTTCAGAAGATTCCCATGCAGTACAGATGTAAGTGAGGAGTAATGCGCTCTTACAGTATGAACATTTTCTCTATTTAGATACATTGCTTATATTTTCAATATATTTTCTGTGTAATCTGAAGCTTGAATCCTTAAACATTCATATTATTAACCTTGTTGATATATATGAAAATTCAGAAAAATCCTGATTGCAACTGTAAAGTTAAAAACAATGTAATCAAAGTAACTTGAAAAAAAAAAATTGTGTAGGAAACCAATTTTCAAGATTAATGGAGTTTCACTCTATTTAGGTTTTGCAAATTCGATCCAAAAATAGAAAAGTTTTACACAGATGATAATTTCATTATTAAGACACGTGACAGAACTAAATTGTCACAGTGTTTTAGCACAGAGATCTGGCACTCGGCATATAAAGTGTCAAATAATCTAATGTGTAGGCTTTATTACAGCATATTAAGCAACAACAACTAAAGCGTAATTTGTTAAACAAATCAACAAAACTATAAGATGTGTGATATAATCTATTTTCAGACACCTTGTATTGCTCTGATTACAACCACATAATTGCTTTGTCATTACAACATTACAGTTATGAAGTTTATTATCTTGGCTCATTTTTACACTTTTCATATTATTCTGCGAATCATATTTTTTTTCGGCCCAGCTTTCGACCTGCGAAATCACTTAAATATCCTGCAATACGGTATTATGTATACAGACTATTTGCAATATATGAGTGTTTGATGTAGGGTAGTAATGTACTCATCAGGGTTCTGTGAGAATTCTATATTTATGTTACTGTTTCTCATTTAGATTTTTAAAGAAATTTGATCACATTGTGTATTCAGTCTCAGGATTTACTCATCTCTGGAAATAGGTCTATGTGATACAGATTTCATTTAGACTTATTGAAATTTGTATAAACCGGGGCCCGTATTCATGAAACTGTTCTCATGCTCAAGCATGGATTCTGTGCTCAAGCAAGCTTTCTTGTAACTCACCTTAATCATATCAACAATCAAAAAGTCTAATCTAAATATTGAAAACAGTTTTCGTCTATAAGTCTCTTCAATTTTTTCCAAAACTTTTAACATAATAAAAAATTTAAAATAATTTATAACTGGAACAAGAAATGAGGCTTGAGCACAAAATCCATGCTTAAGCATAAGAATTGTTTCATGAATACAGGCCCAGGCCTTTACCAAGAAAGTTTCTCTTCAATGTTTAGTGCTTAATATCATAAAAATAAGGAAATATGGGTAACAATAAAGAACGAAAAGTAACTAAACAGAACTCTCCTATACTTGTCATTGAATCACACATCATAGAAAAAAACTTTCTAGACAATTTTGCCAATGAAGTAAATGATACGAATAGACCTGTTGTGTTTTTAATTGTGATAGTCTATAAGTCTACCGTTAATTTTGAACTTGTCTTATTATAACCTATTACAGAGGAGTGGACTTATGGCACTTTACAAGGACCGCAGTGAAGATTCAGAGATCAGGATTGCAGCCTACCTTGAGGTGATGAAGTGTGCCAGCTCAGAGGTCATCTCTGAGGTCAAGGAGGTTCTTGCCTCTGAGGAAGTAAACCAGGTATGTTAGATTTTACGATTAACTGGTTGACTGAGGGATCACTCGGATATGATGTGTTTTTGGTACAAATATATGCTGGAGAGGTCAAAGCATATAGTTTTTAATGTTAAATGACACTTGATGTATTTTAGATTTCATGAGAATTTTTACATTTTAATTTATTGTGTCAGGTTGGCAGCTTTGTCTGGACACATCTTACCAACCTGATGGAAACATCTGATCCTACCAAACAAGACATTCGGGCCATCTTGGAAGACGAGGTGCTGCAAAAAGAGTTTGACATGGACAGAAGGAAATTCTCACGTAACTACGAAGCGTCTTATTTCTCCGAGAGATTCAACATGGGTGGATCAATGGAGAGCAATCTTATCTGGTCACCCAAATCCTTTGTTCCACGATCATTGATGGCAAATTTAACAGTGGACCTGTTTGGCCACTCCTACAACTTGCTAGAGGTTGGAGGCAGGGCTGAAGGTCTGGAACATCTTCTGGAAGCCTACTTTGGTCCATCTGGTCATCTTCGTAAAAACAAAGCACCGTCTCCTGCCCCTGAAATGCCAACTAACAAAGCATTAAACATGAACAAGCTTAACAGAATGGGCAACACTGTAAGTCTGAGAATGTATTGCATGTGTACTTTAATTTTACTGGGACAGTTATTGTTATAATTGGTGCATACAGTTGAATCTAATTAAAGGCAGTTATAACTGACTCAGGGTACATTCACGTATCCGGTTGAAACAGTTGAACCGGTTGAACCTGTTAAGAAAACGACAGGTACAGATCTGGACTGAGGCTGAGCTCAGGAAAATTTGGCACGTGTAGATTGAGGGGTCCAGATGTACCTGACCGAAACTAAAATGCTGACTATTGCCAGTTTGCGTTATTTCTTTCTTAAACAATGTCAAGTCACATGTAGTTTTTAAAATACGTTATGTAATTCAGTGGACGGATGAAAGAAGGTCATAATATTCTTGAAACATTGTTTTTTATTCTCCGAAACTGTGCATTTTTAGCTCTGCTTATAGGACAGTCCAAGTGCGTTCGTTTATTGTGGAAAATTTCTGTGCCACACGTACCGTTTCAACCGGGATACGCGAATGTAGCCACAATTATGTGTCAATTAGTATACATATAATTTTAATGGATTTCAAAGACAAAATATTAGAAATGATTTGATTTATTCTTCATTTAAATTATTCACCCAGTACTGATCAATAGAGCAGAAGTAACTAAGATAATTTATTTAAAGTTAAGGTGTAAAAGAGTTTAAATAGATAAATCCAAAAATTATTTCAAAGGATATGAAATAAAATGATGAGAACATCCAATTGAATTTATTCAAAACACTAAGATGAACATCCAATTGAATTTATTCAAAACACTAGGATGAGATTTTCTTTTGCCACAGTTGGACTCTGATGAAGAACTCCAGGGTTCCATGTACATGCGTGTGTTTGGAAATGAAGTGAAATATCTGAACCTAAACAAGATGCAGGATTCTGATAGCAGCTTGAACAACTTTAATTTTGACGCCTTTTTTGCCAAGCTGATTCGTGACGGGTCCGTGTCCTACACATACAGTAACATGTTCCTAGACAGTTCTATCATCGTACCTACAATGATTGGTTTCCCCCTCAACCTAACGGTCAACGGCACGCTGACCACCGGTCTGAAAGGCACAGGACAGATTGACCTGCGCAGGCCAAAGTCCCTCATGTTGATCAATGGAAACTTGGAGCCAAGGTCGGTTGATATGATGATACATTTAGATTATCTCACGGAGCTTTTTATATTGTTATAGATTCAGCTTTTTTGTGGTCCTACTACTAAAAAGTTAACGAATGATTAAATATGTGGAAAATCACACAAAAAAACACAATTACCTAAAATCTGTGTTGTGGGTTTTTCAGTGGAGCTGTTGCCATCTCTGCAATGATGAGTGTAGATGCCTTTATCACCAAGGGTGGAATGAAGATGGTTTCCACCCTACACACAAGTACTTCCATCAGAGGAAAACTGGAGCTCGCCAACAACAAAGACTTCACTTTGGAGCTGGATTTCCCTCGCAAGAAGTCTGAGGTTATCAACATGGAGTGAGTAGATTTAGTTAGATGCTGTGCTTCATGTTGTGCTAGGTTACAGAAAAGATATACAGAAAAACATTTCTGTAAATAAATCCTGTGTTTACAAATGATGTTGGGATGATAGCAATGAAAACCTCCATATATGAACAAAACCTGTCTATCAGGTAACATCATTGTCTGGTTGTTCAGTGGAAAATTCTTCAGTCATCTTCATCATTATCAATATACACAACACCAGGGGCCTGTTCGTTTATGCGGAACAACCAGTTTGTCTGATTTTAAAAGTAACATTTTTGAGTTTAAACCCTGGCGGATCCGCAAATGTTGATTCAGGCCTTGCAAAGCTTTATCAAAGCTCACCTGAAAGCAGCATCAGATTACTAGGTCAGACCTTATTCGATAAACGAACAACTTTGGTCCAATCGGTCGAACTGGTTAGATCGTGATAAACGAAAGCGGTTTTGTACAATATTTTCTATTTTACAGAAATAACATTAGAGACCTGAAGAGTGTACTTTATTTTAATAATCATAGCTCAAACTGAACACACTTAACTAGGGATAGGAGTTAAGTTGATATTACACTAGACTTTGTGGAGGATTGATTTTTATTGACACATTGCAAAGTATGGATATATATAGTTGATGCCATTAATGACTGTACACATATATTTGTTGCTGATAAATGTGTTGGTATTGTGATATATTAGTATTTTATCACAATGCCATTGTCCATTTTCTGTATTGTAACCAGTCTGTTTGAACATTGCTCAATCTAACAGTCTTTGATAATAGTGGTGGTCATCTGGTTTATCATAACCCAAAAACATTTATCATAGTGGCTTAAGGGCTAAAGGTAATTTCACACACTAGCAGGTATGTTAAGTTGCTATAAACGCTTTTACTCTTTCAGGTCGTCATTCTTCATGGTGCAGGGTGACCAAGAGAAAGTGCAAAACATGTTAGACAGCAATGTTGTCAAAACCACATTTTGTACTGGAAACACACTGGCCCGTGTGTCGGGCCTGAACACCTGTGTCCGGGCAAAATTCCCAAACATCTCCGACGATGCCCCACTCTTTCCATTCACTGGACCAGTCTCTGTCAATGTAGAGACGACAAATGAGGACCTTCCCAATGGATACAAGTTTCAGCTGAAGAGAACTTCTGTAAGTACAAAAAACTGTACTGTTTGTTAAAATAATTCAGTATACAGTTTACTTCTTTTAGTGTTATTTTTGTGATATTTAAAGGCAATTTTGTTCACCAGGACTTTTGATATAAGGGCAAAAAAGAAAATATGTGTGTTTCAGGAATCCCGACCTACCCTAGATTTTCCTGCCGACCCTAGAAATTTTATCACCTACTTGTATCTGAGATTAATTTTTTAGACGGGCAAAGCTAATAGCCACTCATTAAAACGTACTTTCTTTCTAGCTTCCTGTTCTAGGAGTCTTGACACTATTCTTGACAAATTAATAGCCATTGTAATGTGTGGAAATGCATTGTAAAATTTGATATAAAGCATACTATTGATCCATGATAATAAATTACTAAAATTAAAACAAAATTCTTTGCCTACCGACCTACCCTATTTTTTTCAGGCATGTTACCTGAAACACACTTTTTTTTTTTTTTGCCTAATCAATACGGATCTGATCAAATATGACACTTTGTATTTTCCCACATAAATCTGAAAATGTTTAAGTGTAAGATCAAAGCTGTTTACTGTATTAAAATTATGAAAATGAAAACATTGGAGAGAAATGTTTGTGAAGTAACCAGTGTTCAAAAGCATTTAATGTACTAGGCAACATGAATAGCAATTCATATATGAAATATCTTGATTGTAAATTTATTTTTAATCTCTAGGGGTCTGAAAAAATTGTTACAGTATCCTAAAAGTTTTTATAGATTGTCATAACAGTTCATTGTTTGTAGTTGAAATTAAAAAGTAATGTAAAAATAAATTTGCACTTTTAGACTGATGAGCAAACAATGCTTATGGTCTCGTATGATACACCGGGGTCTGTCAGGGACCGAGCTGTTGGCTTTAACATTGACATCAGACATGTTGATAGGACAATGGAAATGAACCTAGTGTCGCCATGGAAGAAGGCTACATTTACAGGTAAAAAGGCACTGAATTTATATAAAAAATCTTCCTGAAAAAATTAAGTTTGGGAAACATCCTTGGCTGAGTTAATTTCATAAGATAATACTGACATTTTAGTTAAATAAAAAATAAAAAAACTGACCAGAATGTATATCAGCTTCAGGTCATCTTATTTTCAACTAAGTAAACTTATTAGGAGGGATAACTTTTCACTACCTGACCAATTTGAAGGGCTTTAATTGACTAAATAGTCATTTTAACATGAGCTGTAGGATGAAGAACAGGGAGTTATAATACAAAATACATCTACATGCTATTGTTAATTTTATCCTTTGAATCTTAACTCGTACAAAATATAAATATGTGTTCCTCATTTTAGTGAATCTTTATCATTTGAAGGTAACCTTGTGTACACGGAACCTTTGAAGAAAATTGAAGGCGACTTGGTTGTGGATACCACCAGGACATATGGTGCTGTCTTTGAACTTCAGCGACAGGAGAAGAAGAAAGTAATTAATTACACACCACGCATTGTCATCACAATTCCAGGCAGAGATGGCTTCAGCTTGACAGGATCAGCAGTATACGTGAAGCAGGCATCCTTAACAGGAAATGTGGTGTTAACAGGGGTTCACGCAGAACCCATCCATATGAATGGTAAATCAGTGTACATATATCTTAATAAGAATTCTACTTTACTGGGTCACGGGTTCGAGACCTACAGGGGCAGTCGCAGGTACTGGCCACAGGCCTCCAGTTTTCCTCAATCACCAAAACCTGACATGTCCTAAAATGACCATAGCTGTTAATAGGATGTAAAGCACAAAAAAAGTTTAAAAAAAAACAAAAACAAAACACTGCCAGATACATTGATGTAGCAGTCTGATAATTATCTCAATTTATGCAAAACTGCATAGCCTTGAAGCATTCCAATCATACAGTTGGGACACATTTTAATTTCTTGATATTTTAAGCTTGGATTCAACATTGACACTGCAGTGCTTTGTGTTTTCCGGTGAGTGAGATCAGCTGATGATACTGTATTGTCATTGTAGGTGTCCTCGTCAGCACAGGGAGGCGTAAGAAGGTGGAATGGAATGTCCTATTTGGAGACACCAAGACATTTGCCGCACTCATAGACGTACCCTTCACAGCAGTTGGAAACTCGGTAAAGCTTAGTCCAGTCATATTGGCCACAATTCCCGGTCACAACGAGTACAACAGCACAGGAACTATGGAATACCGCAAGAACAAACTGATGAAGGCAGACATTACTGTAAACGGCTTCACAGAGGATCCAGTCATGTTTAACTGTAGGTTCAAAGTCACACTTGAAAGGCATACTCCATGTTAATCTATACCACCTATTTTACATTTAGGTGACTGCCAATTTTAACAACCCTGTCAAGGTTCAGATCTCCCATTTTTTACCCCAATTATCAGAAATATTTTTAACTTTGCATCTATTTAAAATAAAGTTGAACCATTTTTATGATTTATCAAATATTGATTTAAAGAATACTGTATATATGCAATATTTGATTAATTTGATACAGTTGAAATGATTTCGAAAACTCCGTTTCTATTATGGCCTAGCCCCAGTAATCCAGTCATCACTAATTTGGTTGTCACACTTAGTGTTGTAGGGGTTAGCTTGGCTTTGTACCAGTAATCCAGCTACTTTTGCTGAGAATGAGTCGTCTGGATTATTGAAGTTCCATTATATAGGAACCCCATAGAAATAATTTGGGTTTTGTTTAGAAAGGGAGTGACTAATAATAAAAACAAAATGCTGTGTATCAGGTCATATTTTCAGTGATTCATTTTTACAATTTTGATGATAAATTTTGCATATAATATGAAAAATGAAGGTACTAAAAAATTTGCAAATAATACTGCAAACAATTTTGGCTCTGAAGAGTAACCCACTAGAAAACCTGTATGGTTGTGTTTGTGATGAATCATTTGCATCTTTCTATCTTTTTCAGCCATTGTTAAATTCTCAACTTCTGAAAAGGGTGTTAAAGTGAAATTCAGTTATGAGAGGAACAAGAACTATGAGGGAGAGGCAAGGCTGATGGTTAAACAAATGAAAGCTAAATCAACTCAATACCTTGGACAATTAACGCTGAAAACTCCAACCAAGTTCCTGGCACAGATCAAGTCCCGACTGGTCCACAAAGTTGATGCTTCAGCTAAATTTGACATTGTTGTGGATAAAATTCTGAAGGTTCCCATCAAAATAAAAGGTACTGCTTGTTTGATATTAGAATATATGTGTCTTTAATGTCCGTCCATACAATTTACCTATTGTCATTAATCTATGTTAGCCATTTGTAATACTCATCGTTAAGTTAAATAGTTAAACATTATATAACTATAGCATAAAACCAAGAAAAACTCACTACTTTATAACAGAAAATGTTTGCTGCAGTTTAACTTCTGCATATATATATCATTACAGCGAATACTACTTAACATATAATATACATAACAATTCAATGTGAACGGGTAAAATAAACAATGAGCGAAAAAATATACTTCTACATTTTTATAGGGTTTACTGGTAAGGGATGAAAGTTTGACCAGACAAAAGTTAATGAATATAAACCTTTACATAAGTTGGATTTATAGATGCTGCTGCGGTCTATGACAGATGAGATTTTCATTTCATATAACTGCATTAATTGTGTAAAAAATCATTATTTTTATTTTTACATTTTTTTGTTATTCTAGGTTTGGTTACAAAAACAACAAAGAAGCAGATAAGAACATTTTACAGAGTATCGGTACGATACACTGGTCCTAAGAAAAGTGACGTCAGGCTGAAATTTGACGTAGACAAACGCCTAAATGCTGTTTTTATGAATATCAAACTTTCCTATAACTTCCTGAAGCTGATACAGGGAGCCAAGGACCAATTAGACTTCAATGGAAAAGTTGTCCGCTCGTTGAAGGCGGTGCAGTCATACGAGCTAGCTACGTAAGTTTTTAACGTACCAGTGTGGTTTATCCAGCCCTTGTTTTAGGAAATATAGGGCTTAATTTTGAGAGATATGATTCCCATGGCTTCATTCCCAGAACAAGCTGTCGTCGTTAAAATTAGGATAATTTTAATAGATATAGCTAAGTCTCTTTCAGAAGGACTTTAAGCTAAATCTCTATTAGAATATGAAAATGACAACAAATTTACAGCATTGTTATTTACACGCTGGGAATAAAACGAGTGTTACCCCTCAGTGATATAGGAATTGTATACCATACAATGAAATAGTTTAAACCACAACAAATAAGGACTATGTTCAAGTGATTTTGCATGAAAAAGAACAGGTTCTCTAGATATTGAGTTGAAGGTCTGGATAAACAGGTGTCTGATTCATACAGGATACTAATTGTTTTAAAGGGGGAAAAAAGGGGGGGAGCTGCTATTTTCTTCTGACTTTTCCCTGAACACATTATCAAGTTCATATTTTAGGAAATCATAATTAATTTAAACACTTTTCATTTCTGACACTTCTGCACCAGAGTTCAGGGCTGGGAATTAGTTTTAAAATCTTCCAATTTTACTAGTCCAAATTCCATTGACCTAATATCATTCAATATGAAAACTAATATCAAATTTTGATTAGTTAATCAGGCTAGCAGTTTTTTAAAATCACTATTCTAACTGGAGGTTATGCTATTCTCAGACTAGCAGGCTACCCTTAATGTCAAGCCATGCAAAGTCATGGTGCTTTTGATCAAATATGTAATTCTTTCCCTGAACACATTGCCAGAAGGTCTGTATCTATTACAGAACTTTGAATTCATGTGATGTTTTACTTTTATTACAAAAAACAACTCATTCTGATTCAAAAAGTTACATTCATTCATTTTTTTCTCAGAAATTTCAAATCCAGTCGATTTGGCATTTACAACAACAAGATGAACGTTAAGGGATTGTACCGGCCAGGAAAACTCGCAGAGGCTGTCCTGGTTTTTGACCATGGCAGGAATTACCTCAACAAAGACAACAAGAGAAGGGTCTACTTCAACGCACAAACTAGCTATAAGATCCGAAACGCAAACATAGCAGTGGCTTACTCTTTCAGCTGCCGTTATCCTTGGCAGGTAAATATGACTTTTATCATACCCTTCTAGTTTTATGGAAGTTGATTGGGGTTGGCATATAGTGCTACCCATGTCTGTCCCTTCCTGTCCCAATTCAGTATTATTGCTCTTGTGACTTCATTGCTTGAGAGATTTTATCTTTTTGTGTTGCCTGCAACACGAGGCAACATATAGTTACCGGTATTGCTCTGTTGGCGACGTCGTCGTCAGTTGTGTCGTCCGAAACAAGGTTTCCGTGCGATAACTTGAGTTCCCTTGGGTTGATTGAACTCAAACTTGGTACACATACTGCATACAAATATAGCTCGGTTTGCATTTCAGAAGTTTATATGCAGTTTCGATAGAGTTATTCCTCTTCTATTGCCAAATAAGGGCATTGTGTGGTAAATGCAAATCAAATCCTTTCAAATTTTGTATGGTTATGCTAGAAGCAATAATGTTCAACATATAATGCATGTTTTTCTTTCGAGTTTCAACTTTCCGCTTCTTGGCATATCACACTTGACATAGCAACGTTGCTTATCATTTGCCGTTATTTTTTGCTTGTTTACGCGATAACTCAAGCCAAAACACTTTTCTCACTAAAAGAGCTGAGCAGACTACACATATAAAGCTCAAGTATGAGAGCACCATAGAGGAGTTTGTAGTTCAAGGTCACAGTTACTTTTTATAGAAGTTTGTCAACAAAAACATTTTAATGAAAGATCAAGTAGGAGAATAGTCAATACCTCAACAGAGTTTGTAATTCATAGTACTAAGTTCACTGTCACAATTTACACAAATTTGTCAAACAATGACACTTATTTGCATGGGAGTGGGAGAATTATGTCTTAGACACTTCAGTTTTAGCTTTGTTTTTACAGCATAACAGCAACATCTGCTGGCTGAAAGGCCAAGCATCATTTTATGATATATATTTCTCTTGCAAGTCATCATACAAATAATACTGGAAGAAATTGCATTTACAGGGCTATGAATAAGGTTAGATCAGTGTCATTTTGACACTTCCTTATCCCTTCCAATAATGCAAACATATTGATTATGCTATAAGCTGTTCCTGGAATGTTGTTCCCACTGATGCTGCAGAAATTCAATACCACAAATTTTAGGAAATCTTAATACAGTATTAAGATGGCTAGTTACTATGATTTTAAGACGTAAATTTATTTATATCAGCAGAGTATTTTTCATATTCATGTCCCTGCTGCCAACAGAATTTACTTCCTTTTTCACCAAACTTAACATCTTTATAAATGGACAGGTTGAGATACAATCAATGCATAATGACTAAATTGTGGTTGTTTTCATTGGTGTGTTTCAGGCTTGGACCGTCGCCTTAGACGGTAACCATTACCATGATCAAGAGAGTGTCAACTCCAGTATGGCCATAACACACAACAGCAAGGAGTTGTTTGATGGGGCAGTAATCTACAACGACGACAGCAATAAAGGAATTCCGAGCTACGCAGGGGAGATAGCAATAAATGTTAATGATCGACCAATAGCTGTAAATGCCAGGGTGTCAGAAATCAGACCTATGGAATATGAGGGTACAATCAGTGTTCAACATGAAAAGAAAAAGGTGACAACTCTGTCTACCATCTACAGGGCTCAGAGTCAGAGGGAAAATTCCTACGAGGTGACATCAACGTTGGAACTGTATGATGGAAAGCGGATGGAGGTGTCAGCCATCTACACCAACCCCTCTGACACGTCTCATAGACTCAACACTGGTGTTCAATGGTATGACGGTACATCCTTCACCAGCCAGGGGGCACTCAATCTGGACAAAGAAAGTCCACTGGCTAGTCTGGCTTTTGCATTTGGATCCAACAACTATGCCTTGTCTCTGAGCGGCGAGAACAAGCCGGGATACAGACGTGTAGCCAGTGACGTTCAGTACCCAAGTAGGCACATCGTCGTAGAGTTGGGAGCCGGCATGAAGCAAAACAAATATATGGTGCTTGGGGATGTCCAGTGGGATGCAGACAGCCATGCTGATAGTAGGGTCAAGGTTGAAGGATCATACAGAAATGAAGGGGTGCAGAACTTTGAAACTGGTGTTCTAGTTCAGGTACCTGATCATCTATATTCTGCATTCATCCGTCATTTGAGTACCACCAAATACAACACCGCTATAGAATTTGCATGGGCCCCAAAGAAAAAGATTGGAGTAGAAATTGAGTTTGAGGATGGTATTCGTAAATACCGTAGAGATATCACAGCTATGGCTGGATTTACAACTCCATTCGAAAAATTTGAAGAGATGAAGACCACATGGTCTTACAACACAAACAAGAGACAAATTTCCTCATCGCTTGCCTTTAAATACGCAAGAGACAAAACTCTGTCGCTATCAGTCACTGCAAAGAAGCCAGTCACCATTAACTCTGTAAACATCAAGTTAATCCTTGGAACTGCTCTTCCAAGAATTGGTGAAGCTTCTCTGACCGTCTCCCACTTACTGTCTCAGGACATGACCCATCACACAGCTGAGAGTACATTGGAGTGGGGATCTGGACGCCGGGCATACCTGGAAACATCATCTGACTACTCATCAACTAGGAAAACAAGATCCTATATTGGTAACTTTGGATTTGTCTCCAACATCCCGACATGGGAGCTGGTCACACTTAACATCACACATATGGATGACTTCAGACAGTTTGACTCTAAGGCTGTCTATAACAGGAACAATGAAATCTATCACTACCACATGATTCATGATTTCACGATCAGAGGTAGCCAGATTCAGAACTCTGGTACTTTCAACATAACATCTCCAAAGGATAGTCTGCATTTCGTCTGGTCTCATGAAAACACAGATCGAAATATCGACAGCAGTGCTACAATCTCCTGGAACAATGGCCAGCGGTTCTCCACATCTTTGTATGGAGATATTCAGTACTCCCCTACAATGAGGATTACAGGACGCTTTGATGCTGAAATACCCTCAACACAAATCAACCGTATAAGAGCTAGGTTTGAACATGCTGATCGTCCAGGGAAGATTAATACAAGTGGTCACATTCATGCTGATGGAGAGAACATCATTACGGCGCAAGCCAACTATGTCCGCCAACTGGGCAGTGTTGATTATGATATGCAGGCTACAAGTGTGTACATGTCACATGATTTTACCACCACTTTAAGGACCAGACATGCAGTAATGCCATACACAGGACAGCTGGAAGTTGAATGGGCTCCACAACAGACAATTAACATGGAAGGAAGCATGAATTTAATCCCTGATCTAAAGAAATTTGATGGCACTATGACCTTGACCTCACCTTTCAAATATGCAAGACGTATTGTTTTTGGAGCATCTCACAAGTTGGAGGGCTTAGAGTGGGTAGCTGCCACTGATGTTGAATTTGCACCCCAGAGGAGCTTTACATCTGAAGTGAGATATCGCATGGATGAACTTATCAAGTTGGGTCGGTTTACTCTGACCACACCTCTTAGAGAGTTTTCAAGGGTAGACACTGGGGTACAGTTTAGTGGACATCCCATGGACTTTGCTGCTGTTGGAAATCTTGAAGTCGCACCATGGGTACCAAGACATGAACTTGCTGTCAATTGGCTGATGAACAAGGAACAACTTAAGGGAGGCTTTGATTTCAAAACCCCTGCATACAGCTATGCAAATGCCCAAGTGACCAGTGGTCAGGTAGGAACGTCTAGGTCCAGTAATATGGCGTTTGAGTTCATGGATATGAAGAGAATGCAACCTCAGAGGATGAATCTGGTGTCGGATTACACAGTGCAGGATAATGTCATTGATGGAACCATCCAATTTGTCTGTCCCTACACCCAACCTATAAACATTCAATACACACAGACAGGAAACTTCCATGACTTCAACCAGAGGTCTACCATTAGGTACAGCGGAAGTAAACAAATTGTTTCTAACTTGGAATTTGGGGACACTCCTAACATTTTTGGAAAGCTCACCTTGAATACGCCATACAGAGGAACAGAAAATGTTGCAGTAGGGTTTGTCTATGATGGAACTGAATGGCGTAATTTTAAGACAAAGGCTGTCTATGGAACGAATGACAAGAAGATTGAAGTGGAAGCCCGTCTAAATGTTTTGGATGCCCTCAGTGGAAAGGTTGCCATCAAGAGTCCATTCCCAGCTATACAGATAGCACAAGTAGCTTTCAGTCATGATTTCAACGGTGTTACACTTACTACCCATGGAGACATGATCTACAATGAATATGTTGTAGAAGGGGACTCATCTCTTCGTCACGATTCCACTGTTACCATAGGATCATTTACTTTTAGGTCGCCCATACCTCGTGCAGAAGAGCTCAGATTTACCTTCAGCAAAGATGGAACTCCAAATAAATTCATGGTTCATGGAGAGGCATTTAGAAATACGGATCAAGTGGAAGTTGATGTTAACTTTGAACATAATGATAGGAGCACTTCTGGTACCATTTCAGGCAGAACAAACTTAAACAATATTAAAGATGTGACTGTGACATTCAGTAGAGAAGGTGACCTGAGCGACTTCACTGTAGAAAACTCAATGAGATATGGGGAGCACAAGGTGGATTCCTTGGTAGGATTCTCCCACAATGAACATGTAACAGCTGGAAGGATGGTGAGCCGAGGCCTTATTGATATGTTTATAAGTGGTGATGCTGAGGAAGCCACTGTGTCCTTTACAAGGAGAGGATCGTTGTTGAATTTCCAGAATCAGGGAATGGTGATGATTGGCCAAAGAAAGTATGAAAGTCAAGTAACATTAGCCCACAACCAAGAAGAATCATCATTCAAATGGATCATTCCCGTCCCTGTTGGAGACAGTATTGAAGTAGCAACTTTGACATTCAGTAGGGAAGGTCAACTCACTGATATGACAGTTCAAGGAAAGGTAGAATATGATCAAAAGGAGGTGGCAGTGAGGTCAAGCTTTGCCCTGACGGAAGATAATGTAAACGGCAGATTTAACCTGGAAAGCAGTTTCCCTGATGTGAAACCCATGAGGTTGACTTTCTCCAAGGAAGGTTCCCTTCCATCAAATTTTAGGACACAGGCTCTATGTATGTATGATCAGCAGACAATAGAATCTGAGGCTGCACTGTCGTTGGATGCTACGTCTATGACCAGCAAATTTCTGTTAACCAGCAATGCTCCAGGAATCAAGGACATCACATTGACATTGACAAGGCAGGGTACACTTGTAGATGGCTTCCAGTCGGAAGTTATTGTGTTAATTGGGCAGGACAGCATTGGATCCAAACTGGAATTCTCTCACTCTGAATCAAGCACTACAGGAAAATTTGAGGTAACCGGCAACATTGCACCAATTACAATGTTATCCTTCTCGAGAGAGGGAGATTTGATGGATTTACATTTGCAAACTATGGGAATGTATCAGCAACAAAGTCTGCAGTCTGATTTGATTTTCCAACATGGAGATTCTGAAACAACAGGATCAGTTAGCATGACCAATACATTCTTACAGAGAAAATCCATGAAAGTTGTTTTTTACAAAACAGGAGGTTTAGAAAACTTGAAAGTTGGTGGACAACTGCTGTGTGATGATGATAGCTTCGCTGCAACCCTTGGACTTTCCCATGATGAGACAACCACAACCGGTTTGTTGAATACCACATGTACATTGGAGCAAGTGAAGGACCTGAGGGTTTCCTTCACCAGAGCAAGTAGTCGCCGAGTTGAGTCTATTACAGGAGAAGCCACATATGGAACATACTCCTATACTGCAAAGTTGGATAAGAAAACAACAGGAAATGATGTTGTCGTGACAGGAGCTATTACCAACCCACACACAGAAGACATCGCCTTCACCATGGATTACAATAGCCGCAGAAAGGGATTCACCTCTACGATCACTGGAAACATGGGGGCTGACAGCAGTGTCAGATCCACAGCAGAGTTCACCCATAAGGGCAACATACTTACATTTGTTGGGAACAACATTGTCATAAACAAAGGTGAAAATTATCTGACGGACAAATATACACTGAATCATAAAGGAGACCCCACAGATTTCAAAACTAATGCTGTCTATGTTTATAACGGTAAGACATCTGAGGCAACTCTAACTGTGACGGCACCTTCCGTGGACAGTGCATCTTTGAAATTAGCTGCTACATCAGAAATACCAATTAAAGGTTACAACGACTTACTATTAACATTTGGAAACACCAAGAGTGAGTCAACCCACAGAAGCACCCTTGACATAATCTATGGCAGTGAGACCATATCTGTAACGTCTGCTGTCGACATTGAATCTGCTCAGAAAACAATAAATATCGGGTTTACTTCCCCATATCAAGATGCAGAATCAGGAAGTTTAGAGGTTACCCACCAAGGAGAAAGCATCAGTAACTTTCAAACCATTGTTATCCTTACTTCATCAGGTTTGACGACACCAGTGCGGGCTGAAGTGATGGTTAACTACAACGCATTAATGAATATTGAAGCCTCGACTAAGTTCAGTTATGGGCCCATGAATAGGCAGGCAGACTTTAGGCTCCAGCAACAGGATATGGAGCTTACCATTCGAGTCAATCTCCAGTCTCGAGAAAAGACCCTCACCTTTGAAGCCAGCGGAAACCTTCAAGGTTTCGGAAAGCCACATACAGAAACTGATCATGAGAAAAACATGGAGCTTAAAGCAAAACTGTTAACTCCTTTTGAGGCTATCCGAAATGCTGAATTCCAGTATACTACTGCTCAATTACTACACGAGGACAAATCTATGACAGAGAACATTTTGGTGAAACACAACGATTTAATTTACTATAAAAAAGATGTAGCAACAGAAATTCAGAATGGCATGGTGAATACTTCTGGCTCAGAATTCAGTGATGCATTGGGATGGGGTTATAATTACAAACTGCTGTTCAATATTCCATTAACATCGCTTAATTTTGAAATGACAGCTAGTAATGATTTAACATCACCAAACAGTAGCTATCAGATATTGGGCAATGCTGTCGTACAGAGGACTGGCGACACCCTGGAGTCTGTAGAGGCTGAACTACAGGGTATCCACTTGTCCCGCACAGTTGCAGCAAGAGGAGGCTGGACCAAGAAGTTCCCTGTATTGCCAAACCAAATGGAGATCAGCTGGGATGAAAACAAGGGACAAAAAGCTGGATATAATATCAAGTGGGGAAAAGTCAACCGACTTGTCAAGGTAATGTCACCGGTGAGGTCGGTGGAGCTGAGAGGCAGACTTGTCGAGAAACAACCAACTAAAGTGCGAGAGTATCAATTATTCTGGGATGCAGACAAGGACAGATCCCAACAAGTCAGTGTAAGGTTGGAGACAGCACCAGACCAAAGGAGAACTGTCAGACTAGGACTCAACATCCCTACAACTAATGGCATCAAGGTAGGATTTTAGGAGTTGTTAATTCAGTAGCAGAACAAAAGGTAGTAAATATGAAATAATTGCTGTTATTTTGATAAACGCTGAATGTTTACAACAGTACATGAGCCAGACTGAGTACAATTTAAAGAAATTAAAATAAGAAAGATATTATTGTTGTATAAATGTATAAATGTATACTTTTGCTGAATATTGATTCTCATCTTTATATGAAAGCATTTGATGTGAAATTGTGTCGTTTTTCTTTGAGGACAATTACTCTGCCATGAAATAAGTTAGCAAACATTTTGGGCTATATATTTTGTGCCTTTTGTGGTCATGTTGTAAAATGGCCCTTGTTTTTTTATCTAAAAACCTTCAGATTAATTGTTTTTCATGTTTCTATATTGTGATCTTTTATGATTTTCAGGAGTTTTCTGTGGTCAGTGAATATACCAGACAAGACAGCGGTCACTATGACAGTAGAACAGAGTTATCTTACTCCACGGACCCCTCCAAGACCATTGTGCTGACCTCGAGTTATGATGACCTGTCTCAAGGAGAAAACAAAAACTGCAGCTTGACCATTGGTCTAAGTCATGCCCACTCTTACATGGATGTGTCAGCTACTGGTCACATCGCATCTGGTCCCCAAAAGGGGTCAGCTGGTATAAGTCTGTCAGCCACTACTGCCCAGAGACAAACAAAGAACCTCTTCCTCATGAGCGAAATTGACATGCTGCGCAAACAGATGAGCATTGTGGTAAGGTTATATCAAGACAGGAACCAGTTCTTTTTGGGTTTTTTTATTTCTCATTAAACAGGGCATAAATAATTTTCACCTGTTTGGTTTCCTTGTTTTCTCATAACAAGCCATCTTTTCAAAAAAAAAAGAATTAAAATAAACAATTTTTATTTTTTTTCTGTTTTTAGTTTTAAATTTTTTGCTTTTCAATTTTTTTTGAGAGAGAGAGAGAGAAACAGTAATCACAATGTCTTAGATGAAGATTTTATATTTAGAACCCTACAGTTATATTTATGAATTTCAATATCTTTAAAAGATTCTCCTTGTAGCCATTTAGCTTACCAGGGTTTAAACATCTAATATTCGTTGTTAACAGGAAAATCAAATAGAAAGACTCTTAGATATTTTCATTATACATGTACAGTAAATTTTCAGTTGGTTATATCAATTTATAGTTGTGAATTGACATATGGATGAATTTTAATTAAAAACTTGAAGAGTTGTTTTAAAGTATCACCTATTTACTTTAGGTCTTACAGCATGTATTAATAATGTTCCTATAGGCGATTGGTCCTTCCAAGTCTGTGGGACTGACCGGAGAATTCAGTGACTCACCATACAGTCTGACTATCCGTAGCACACATGATGCAGAAAACTTGATCGATGCTGAATTATCCTATGATCAGCAGAACAAAGTCATGAATATGCAGATGAAATATGATGCAGGTGAGAAAAAAAACACAATTAAATGTTAATGGTAATTGTATCTTTAATGATTGAATTCTGTACCACGAAGTGAAGCCTAGTATTCTCACCATGAGGGATTACATAATAACACCCCAGATATAATAATTTGAGGTTCTTATATACCGCTATATCACAACCTAGTTCGTAGGTCGTCTCAAAGCGGTTCACAAGTTATTATCAGTGGTTATAGGGCCTTAAATCAGTGGAATTGGTGGAAAATGTTCATGCCATAATACCTTTAATGAAACTTAAGTCTTAACTTCTTTTTTGTTATGTTGGAGCTAACTATCATTTTTTTGTTTGTGTTGATTTAAAAATTGCATCTGTGTTTGTTCAGAACACCCCAACAATGTGCTGCATCTGAAGACCCAGTATCCAAACAACTTGGACTTCACTGTGGAGGTGTATCGTACCGGTGACTCCCCAAGGCAGTCCGACTCCCTTATCAACCTACACCTTAAAAGCTCACGTCTGCTCCACACCAAATTGCAGTGGAGGCCAGAAATGGTGTCGGATCTCATGGTGGGTAGCAAACAGTACATGGAGATGCTGAATCGCCTTTCTTGACAGAATGCATATGTCATACAAATGTAATGAGAAAAAACTCAACTTTTTATACTTCCTCAGCACTAGCCTGAAAAATAGTTATCAAGACAAATTTGCATCCTTGTATTTAATTATTCATGATGAAATTGAAAAGAGGAACATTTTTATACGCCCGTCGAATGACGGGACGTATTATGTTTTCACGCGGGTGGGCGGGCAGGTGGGCACACATTAGTTTCCGCTCAATAACTTGAGTAATTTTGAATGGAATCATTTCAAATTTCAGAGGAAGGTTCATTATTATGAAAGCTTGCACAAGTTTGATAACCTATTAAGGGTGGCCCTTTATAGAATTGACATAACACTTTCCGCTCAATAACTTGAGAAATTTTGAATGGATTCATTTCAAACTTCAGCCATAATTAAGGACTTAAAAGCCTTTTGTAGGATTGTCGGAACACAATTTCTGCACAATAACTTTATGCACTTATGTCCTTTTGTGGCAAACTGCTCATTCGATATCTGACTGGCGTATCATGTACCACTTCGCAGAACTCTTGTTGCATATTATCTTACTGTTCATCCTTCTAAAATGTATGTGCTAATACCAAGTGTTGTTTTCTGGACTATTTCCTCGTAGGGCTACACTGCTGACTCCCTTCAGAAGTATGGAAATGAGATGAACACAATGCTTTCTGAGACGTCCCAACAGTTGGGAGATGAACTGGAAGACCGATACAACTCTCTCAGCAATGAGATTGCAGTCGAACTGGAACCTGTAGCTCAACAGTATGCTGAAGAGATTGAGGGGATACTTGTAGAATTGCGCAAGATCAAGCAGAAATTGAACCAGATGTACATAAACAATGATCTTTATCTCCGGGACATGAACGAAAAATTGGAAGGCAGTATTAGTAATTATCTGTGAGTTGATTGCTGTGTACTTCTAAACTTTTCTCTTGTTGGTTTATTTTTTCATATTTTTTTTTTTTTATAAATAATTCACTTAATGAAGCATTGGTATGTGGAAATTTTAATTAGACATTACAAGTATAATAGTAATACATGTTTTACCATTAGTATCTTTAAAACTAAAAATTCTTAAGTGCATGCATTGAAAAATCATAGCAGAACCCAGTCAGACTTAGTGATAAGATCAGAGGTATACTTTGTCCTGATTAGCTTAGGATTTCAGGTGGATATCTCTAAAAACTTACAATATTAAATGTCTATTTGTACAGAGCTCAATACAACCTGGCAGTTTCCTCCTTTGGTGGAACTGTGAGAACCACGAGACAGAGAATAGCAGAAATCACCAACGAAATCCAGACATTCCCCTTTGAGGAAAAGTACAATGAAAAAGTCAACGAGATGATTGCTAGTTTGGAGGTCAGTTGAAAAACAATACCCTATACAGTTAATAATTGCTATTAGGGATAGCTTTCTTGTATGGATAAATTGCTTCATTTATAAAGCAGGTCCGGTTTTGTTTATGTCCTTATTTAGGCTGTTACAAAGTTTGAAATAAAATTGATTGTAAACAATATTTTCATTGGCTAAAAGATGTTGTGCACACTTTAATATAAATATTCAAAGAATGCTAGAAAACATGACATGATATACAACAATGACTTTTTTTTTTGTCACTTGTACACACATTGATATTTAACATATTTTTCTATCTCTACAATATCAATATAATTGTCAAGTAATAGAATCCCTCATCACTTCATTACTTTCAAGGGAAGACAGAAAATTGATAAACCAAGGGATATGATTTCCCTAACATCCCGATGTTCAAGGTTCTGTCAATGATTGGATGTATTTTAAACTCTTCGATGAGGGTTAAGATTGTTTGTTTTTTCCCAGAAAGTGAGAAATGGTCATACGGTTTTATACCGAGTACTAGCCTGCAGATTTTGAAAAAAAATCCAGAAGTCGTACCTTTATTTTCATTGTAAATGTTGAAAAAATTTCACTGTCCTGACATAAAATCTACTCCAGGCATTAGGCTAGTAGACTTGTGCATCCATGAAATCATTCTTCCACCTGTAAAAAGAAAGCTTTCTATTCCAACCAGGCAGTTATAGTATGACATCCTCTGATGATAAAAAGGGACATCATTCAATTGCTTCCTTGTGACATCACAATGGTGAATTGCTACTACTTCAGTACGTGAAAATGTTGTGGCGTGGTAATTTTGTCCACTATTATTTTTCATTATTCTAAAGCTTATATACAATGCTGTCAATATTACAGGAGTACAGAATGCAACTTGTAAACACGCTCAACAGTAAGCAGGAAGTCATGGTGGCCAGGGTGACCGAGGCTCTCGAACAGTTGAGGAGATATCTGATCAGATTAACAGATGAGTTCAGCCGGACAATCTCGCAGACACTGGATGAGATGTCTCAACACCCTGATGTGCAGAAAGCCAAGGGTCAACTGGAACAGATTTTGACATACATTCCTGACTCACCCGACCTTCCAGACATTGACTATCAGGCATATGTGACCAAAGTTCGTAAGGTGATCAAGTCAAATCTCCGCAGCATCAAAGTGGCCGAGCAATATGGCAACCTGGTTCAGGGGACCCAGAATGCCATCACTGGCGTCAGTGACCAGATCAACGAGTTCCTGCAGGATAAGGATATAACAATGCTCAAACGCCTGATGGAAGAACTTTACACCCAGGTTGGTTCTATGGAATCGTATCTGTGTTTATAAGGTGCATGGCATGGACCACAAGGAAATGTATTGTCTTAATACTATTGTATTTTACTTTTGATAACAGGTGTTTTGTCCAATATGCAAGTTAAATATAGTGAAACATGCACTCACACAAAAAAAGAACGAAAAATAACCAAATTAACTATCGAAGCGTAATACACTATTCTTTGTTTGGCCAAGTTTCAAAGCTATCATGTATGATTTCTGTAATTTTTCAACTGATTTTTATTAAACCTTGTCAGTTTAATGACCCATCCTGCTATGTTACAGCTCCCATCTGTTGCTGAGAATTGGCCTCTGGCAATCAACATTCGTGAAATTGCCGACGACTTTTATGACTCAAGCCGCGAATTCATCACTGAGGATATTGGAAAGCTGAAATTCCTCAACTGGCATAAGAACCGCTTCATTGTTTTTGATCCTGAGAATGGACATATAGAATTTGAAGTGTACCTACCATCACCGACTGCTGCCCTAGACAGAATTCCAAGATTCAACGTCAAGAAATATGTTGTTCGTTTCAACAGAGCTTGGGAGAAATATGTGGTTCAGCTGCGTGACTTGTCGTTTTGGGATGTCTACTACAAGTACATGCCATCCTATAACCCCAGAGATTGGATACCACCATTCAAAGGTGAAAACTTTTATAGATTTTTATAATTCTTATAAACTTATGTATAGTGATGAACAGTTAAGTTGTTAGATTGAGTTTGGAAACAAATATATCATGAATATCTGGTGGTTTTTTTTTAAGATTAATGATAAGTCACCAAACAAAGTCTAACTATCACTTCCTAATTGAAAATGTCTTGGATTCTAGTGAACAACTAATTCATTTTGTATGTTTTATTTCAGCATACGCAATGATTGCTGGAAATCGTCATTACATAACCTTCGACAACAAGAAATATGACTTTGCTGGAATGTGCAGTTATGTTCTGGCACATGATTTCCATGACAAAAACTTCACTGTGGTTGTCAATTTCAACCGCAACAGACAAACACCTGCAATCCGTTCACTGTCAGTGATGGCTGGAGGGAAGACTGTAGAAATATTCAACACTGGCGTAAGTTTTACCATAGTTACCACTACTCGCTATAAATAGTCAACACTATCACAAGTTCTTAAGATCACCAAATCATTTTCTTCACAGTTGTATTTTGAGTCTTCCCTTGCTTGTATTGGTTTGTGTCCATGCTGGGTTTGTGTCTGCCCTCTTTCTGGAAATGTTCAGCAGAACCAGTGTTACTTTAAAGAATGAATTGCAAAACCATTTTCAGTATGTCGGCATCATCGGCACAGTTGTCCACACGAAGGTTTTCATGTAATAACTCTTGAAGGATTTTATCTATTTATTTACATAAACCTTCCTACAAATAATTGAACTATTCATCCATTCAAGGTCAGGTTTTGATCTGGATCTGAAATATAATATGGCGTCCTTAATTATTTTGCATAAGAATGCATAACTGAAGTGAGGAAAATTTCCTTAAGTCTAGATTTTCCCTTCTAACTCTAATAATGCTTTCCTATGGAAAAAACTTTCGTAAAGGGATTTCATTAAGTTAGGCATGGTTTGTGAATCTGGAGCCTGAAGTGGTTTCTGAGTAATAAGCTTGAAGAAATTCATGATTTTCAGGAAACTACCTACAAATACTGAGTATTGATGATCGACTCAATTTGATTTTGAAAGATATTTATAGAGATCATTTGCTTGTTTTGATGCTTGGCCAAACTTGTGCATATTTAATGAGGCTGCTGTGATCTGATCAATAGTACAACAGCAAATTAAACTGCATTTCAATCCTTCATCATATGTAAATTGCAATAAGCTATCATTCCACTTAAGCTGGTGCAGGTTTAATAGGGCGAGGAATAGTGATAAAGATAGGGCCGTCGCTGGGGCTCGAACCTGCGACCATTGGCTCTCCGGCCCGATGCTCTACCTCTGAGCTAAAGAGAAATTCCTTACAGCTGACGCTTGTAAGGCAACCTAATCAATGCACTTCTTTTACACTATTCCCGCCTTTTTCAAACACCAACCCAGGTTCTTTGACTCCCCGCCAAGGGTTCTCATACCTTGAACGGGGATGGTCAACGGCACCAATTTGTAATAGGACGAGGAACAGTGATAAAGATAGTGCCATCGCTGGGCCTTGAACCCGCAACCATTGGCTCTCCAGCCAGATGCTCTACCCCTGATCAGCTAAAGGGAAATTCCCTACAGCTGACGCTTGTAAGGCAACCTTATCAATGCACTTATTTTACACTGGTGACACATCAACTTCTGTGGAAGTTCTGTTATTAAACCTGTCGTCTTTAGGAATACTGATAATCCTTATTGGTAGTGTTTGATCTTATCATAGGGCTGTATTATTAATTGTAGATCCATGTTGATGGTCGACCTTCTGAGCTGCCATTCATCCATGAAGAGTTGTCTGTGGAGCGCGACGGAAACCATGTGAAGCTGGATACCGGCAGAGGCCTAGAAATCATAGGTAAATGATGCTAACTATTCAACAGTGAACCCCAAATCTTAAATTTTATTTGTCATACGTCATAGTATCTGTTTAGGAAACAATTTAAAATACTGTTAATCACCATACCAGCTAAACAAACTCACTTTGAGGTACATGTACATGCTCAAATCTGATATAAAAGTAATGTATAATCTCATCAATAGACAGAATTTAATACCTATTTTTGTATTGGAAAATGAAATGAAGTTTTATGTATACCCCACCTGGGTTATTGGAGTTATGTGGGTAGGAGAAAAAACTTTTCTGAAAATCTGTGCTTTGAAGCCAGTTCTACATTTATTACATTAATACGATGCAATGTGTTACAATTATATAGTAGTTTGAGTTGTAAAATAATCACTGTAACTGACATTTGTTGTCCTTTCACAGGTGATGTGGAACACGAGCACTTTGTTGTGGGCATCAGTGGATGGTACTTTGGTAAGGTGGCAGGTCTGCTGGGTACCTATGACAACGAACACTTTGATGATATGTTGGAGAGTGACGGTACCATCACGGACGATGTTGATGCTTTCAGCCAATCATGGCAGGTCAACAAACGGTGTCGAGTGCCTGGCAACATCATTGATCAGGAAACATTTGACGAACAATCCACAGGATACAGTAAATGTGCTGCTCTCTTCAAGGAATCCAGTTCTCCTCTGCGACCTTGCTTCAAACAGGTGAGACAAGACTACAAAATATATAGAGCTAAACCAACTGCACAGCTGGTCGGTCCTCTTAAAGAATGAAGTGTTGTATAGTTGGGAAATTTAGTGAAGAAACTACTGAGAAAAAAACGGGAAAATGTAGAGGTGATAAATAAATTAAGATTATGGTAAACTTTCAGTATAAGGTTTTGGTTTTTGACAAAAAAACTTTACTGATGTCTGTAACTGTAATCTCTTTTAATTTCAAGAAATTATATTTTTGTGTTAATCTGAGGAGAGTCAATCATGAAATCAAGTAGCTTACCTATATTTATTCAGACACATCTCTTTTAGAGAGAGAGATATCTGATTTTGTTTTAATATAAAGTACCATGTTGAAAATAATGATTCCTGAAAATTCATTGATTTAGAATTCGTGAAAATTTCTTTGATTTAGAAATTACAAATTTAGAATATTTATAAGTACAGTAATATATTGTTACATTTTCACCATTTGTCTGGCAAAATTTTGATGTTATAGAAGGGTTTGTTGATCATATGAAGGAAGTGTTCAATGAAAAAGGGATTTGAAACATGTTGGCAAATGAAATGAGGGGCATTATGTTGAGGTGTTACTGTATGTTAAATGATGCATAAAAAAATGCAGCTGCAATTAAGAACAAAATGCCTGTTGTATAATTATGAACATGCAAGATGATGTGTTTTTCAGGTTGTCACAGAGTATTACATGCACATGTGTCTGTCCGGTGTCCAGAGAGGCGAGCTGGTGTGTGATGTAGCATCACTGTACGTGAAGGCCTGTCAAACACGAGGTGTCAGAATGTGGCTACCACAACAGTGCAGTACGTTTTTTCTACAGATTTTATTCATTGATGGAAAGATTATTTTTAATGAAGCTCATTTTAAACAATTCTAACAAAAATCCATCTTTTTTCATAACTTTAAAATAAATGAATAGTTTTGAAATGGGCTTGGATAATGCATCTGAACTAAAGACTAATAGAATACTGTTGAAGTGATCCATTTGTTTTTAGCGGAATTTTTTTTTTGTCTTGTTTATCAATTCATTTTAATTAGTTCATCTTTCAATGTTTACTCCTATTAACAGGTGGAAGTTAAATTAATCACATTTGTTAAAAATGTCATTTTGAGATAAAAAAATAAATAATATTGTTACAGTCCAGTGCGAGACCCCAACCTCCGATCAATACCATGCAGGGGAGACAATCAAAATGTACCCAGCCAGTGACGACTACCAGGTTCCTCAGTCAGCAGATATTGTCTTCGTTGTGGAAAGTCGGCAGTGTAATAGTGAAGCCACACAAAACCTTGGCAGCCTTGTGTACAAGATTGAACAGGGCCTTACCCAATCAGGTACCACAAGAGGCTGTGTCTCGTCATTATTAGTGTAGTGGGAAGCTACATAAGTTTAATTGCAAGGTCTTAAACATTTTGAGTTAAGGAATTAGTTTAAAAAATTAAATAAAATGTTGTGGAAAAGTTCAGTGAAGTAGCATTCTCATGAGAATTTAGTTTTTGTTTTTGTTTAGTTAACATGGACAGCAAACATTTTCTAAACTAGAATTTCAAAATTACCAGGTTTTTAAATTTAAATATGATGTGTTCAACTTGTGTTCGACTTTAAAAAAAGTGTTACTCAGGTTTCCATTGCATGGTTTGGTCTAGACACTGTCAGGTTACACTGAAGTAAGTTGGGATGAATCAGCACTCAATAAAAATGTACGTCATGTTTTTTATGTCAGGAATTGCTGGAAATAGATATGGGTTGATCAGCTACGGTCAGAGGGGAGCCAGCAGTCACACAATCGAGGGTGTGTTCTTTAACGATGCCACCAAATTCACCAAGGGCATTGAGACATTGACAAACAACAACGAATCAGCCGACTCTCATGAGGCTATCCTGACTGCCACCAACTACCCATTCAGGACGGGCGTGTCCAAGACCATTGTCCTGGTACAGTGTGATGAATGTCCAGAGGTCAGCTCCGCTGCACATGACCACCTACAGCACATCCTCCGCACAAGGGACATAACTCTACACATCCTACGTGACCAGGAATTTAGATTAGACAACAACCGTATTCCTAAACACAAGATCCTTGGTAAGTATTTTATGAATTCTTCTATTTTCTGTTGCACCAAAAATTGGACATTATGTGAGAAAATAGTCCCCTGACTTGTAAAGATTGATTATCAAACTTTTTTTTTAAGCCACTTCATATAAACTTGACTCAAAAAAAATCAAGGTCCCGTCCCCACTCACCCCCCCACAGTCCTTTTTTTTCTCTTATTCCTAAAAAATTCTTTATTTTCTTCTCAATAATAATATATTTCTAGGCTAACCCCTTTATAACCGCTAAATTTTGTTGGACAAATGATGTTAGAAAAGTAAAGTTTAAATGTATCAGTCCACTTATGTACATCCTTCCAGAGTGCAAAACTATACCAGCAGTAACAATTATGACATTCACTTTTCCCCTCCAGGAGTGGACAACTCCATGAAATATATGCTGGACCAGAGCCATGCTGATCTATATGATGACATGGCCCTCCCCTCCGACAGCTGCTCAACTCTCTCCCTGGACTCCAACGGCACAATCTTTGATTCCACCGGATTTGTCGGTCGACGGCTGAAGGACAGGAGGAGATTTTCGGAGATCATTGTTGACCGTGTCGCAGCCACTGCTGTGCCTCACGAGTGTCAAGTGTGCCGATGTGTGTCAGACCACACTGGGGCTGCCATGTCTGTCTGCAGGAAGTGCTCCAACAGCTTTTTTGATGTAAGTTGTAAAAATAATTGAACAAGGTTAGAAATTATATCGTTGTTAGTTCATCATCCAATTTTTATCTGATGAGATTAAGATAGCATATGTCATAAAATTAATGAAAATATTGTGTAACTCTCAATATTTTTGCATTTTCAGTATTTAAAAAAGCATTATCATCTATCTTGTGTACATCCTCGCGGTCGATACTCCAAGGATTATGTTCACTTGCGCTCTCAGTACCCCTGAAATATATCATGGCAAAATTGAAGGCACTTGGCTTGTGTAGGACCCATAAATGTAGCACAGGGGACTAAAACATGTTTATATGATTTGATGGTTTGTCCAACTCATTCATCAGATTTCTTCATAATTTAATAGTAAAATCCCATAGTGATGTAATATTGTGTTGCTTTGTTGTAGTATCTGCCTCCGATGTGGAGCAACCTTAAACACCCTCAAACTCTCAGGGATGAATTTGAGGAACAGTTAAAGGTAAACACATTTCATTATTTTAAAAATGGATCATTTGAAGGGAAATTATTATATTACCTGGTATATGGAAAAGCTATATGCAAAGGTATTAGATGTGTAATTGTCAGACTTTGATGTTACATTCTATCACTTGTCACTATTGAATACTGGGAAGATTGGAGTAGTCAGCATAATGCATTGTACAAATTATACTCGTGTATCATAATATTGCTTTAAGATACACTCTACTCTTATTGAATTTCTCGTAGTACGAAAATATCAGTAAGTCAAAAGCTTGTTAAGACTACCACTTCTCTAATTCAAGCAAAATTTGAATAAATCAGCAAATAAACACACGCCAAGAGGGCCCATGGGTTTGAAAACAGATGCGTCATTTTCAAAATTCATGCGGAATGACAAGGTTGCATGGTCAATCTGGAGCCCTATTAATGACCTTAACAACTTGTAGAAATCAAATTGTTGATATTGTTTTTGTTTTGTTTTTTAGGACTACCTAGGAGATGGTATGAGTGTTTTCTCCAGATAGATAGTCCTTTCATCAATCATGTCTTTCACTTCTCATCATCAGAAATTCCACCGAGTTGTTTCACCAACTCAAGCTAATGCCAGTATCAATGCATCATCCGAGTGATTTCCATGTGCATCACATTCTTATTTTTTCTTTTTTAAAGTTCTAATTTTATACCGTTATTATTATAAGTGATTTCTTATGCAAGTAATATTATATAAAGTACTAATGATATGTTAATGTTGCATCACATTACAATTTGTTTTGTACAATGTATTATCCACGTTTGCCAAAAAATGCTATATGCGATGGTGACATTACAACTTTCATATAAGTTTTAACACAGAGAATTATCAGAGTCAACTTGATTTCATTGTTGTAATAAGTATGTGTAAAGAATATTATCAACTTGCTTTTGGAGGACTTTATATCTAAAGACCTTGAGAAATATCTTAATTGTTTGTGAAATGTACAACTTCAGTCTTTTTTTTATCAATTTCGAGTCCTTCTTTAACACTTTTCACATAAGAAGAACGGATAGAAAAGGACATAATGTACCCAAGGCGGACATTTCCTTGATATATAAATGTCTTTATTTGCTAACATAATTACTCAGCCAAGTTGACCAAACATGAAATCCATGACTTGTTATCAAACTCTGTAAAGTCAGTTCATAATGATTGTATCAATTCAAGAATAAAATATTGTAAATATCCATGTCTTGTATTTATTTCTGTTTTTATTAATAAAGATTTTCAAGCCAATCAGTGATGTCTTTTGAGTTATTACGTGATCCTACAAGTACAATGTTCCTTTATCTGAACAACTTTGTCAATATTATAGTATTGTGGCAGATTTTAATTGTATATAGGATTGCGATGGCCTTCTAGCTTCGAACAAGAGGGAATTTTCCTTAGCTCAGTGGAGATCATCCGAATAGGAGCCTAGGGATTGCAGGTTCGATCTCGGTGGGAGCACACTAGTCCCTTTCCTGTTACAGTATTTACAAACCATTTTGAGCTCTATCATAAACAACCACAACACATTTACTTCTAATATGACATGTACAATTTTATTAGTTATCAGTTTGTACATGTCTTAAACGAATGACATAACATTTGACTAATAAGATAAACTGATAACTATTAAGTAAAAGTCTGAGTATTAAACACAGATAAGTGGAGGATGCATGATGCTGACAAAATGTATGATTGGAAATCACAGGTGTCTTACTACATTTTAACACCATTTAATTATATTCATGATACTTGATTGTGACATTATCTTACAATATACATTTTAGACAGATGTTGTTACCTCTGTTCATGATCCAACAATTTTGATGATATGATGGGATTGAAAAAATATACAAAAAAGATCCTTGGGTGAGGGCAGTTCCAGAAATTCAAAAATATATGGTTTTCTATCTACCAGTATGAGAATCATAAATACTAATCTGTCTTGATAAAGTTTAAAGAATTCCACAACAAAGGGTAAAGAATTGTACTCAATCATTGATAATATTTTCAGTTTTTTAATAAGAGAATTATTGGTTAATTTATAATAATAAAAAATCAGTTTACATAACAACCCAGTACATGTACAAAAGATAAAATCCATTTGATAATCTACATTATTATGGAGATGTTTTAGCATATCAAATCAACTACATTGATTATGTTCTCTTTACGCATCAGTAATATACTGGTGTAATATTCTGTCTAATTACCAAGTATCAGCTAGCTGACACAGTTGATAGCAGACTGAAAGTTCTTAAGTCAGGAGAACATTGCATCTCGTGTAGATGAGCACAGCATTAGCTGATGGCTTCAAATTACTTCTCTTACTGGGATAGGAATAAATTGCAAAACAGCATGTATTAATATATGTCAAGTGACACTTTATCAAAATATTTTTCTCTTGGTGAGGGAAAACTGTCCCCTGTGACGTAATCTACCAGCTCAACCATTGATAGCATCCAAGCATCTTAGTTGGCACACAAACATGCAAGTCTTTCTCCTATAGGCGTACAACCATGCATGATATCCAAGTCTTTCTCCTATAGGCATACAACCATGCATGACATCCAAGTCTTTCTCCTATAGTGAGATGATTAAGTTTTCTGCAAACATCCACCAACATATGACATCAAGTTACGGCATCAAAGTAGATTTTATGCTGGTGCTTTAGAACCTGAAACAGAAATTGAGCTGTCGAATATAACGACATCAAGCGTGATGTGAACTACACACATTACACTACCGCTGTTGAATACCAGTTATAGAAACTAAATTCAGTGCCATCTAGTAACAATATGTAATCAGGTCCAGTACACCTATCTGCCGATTAAGCTATATAGCTATAAAGACCTATATAGCTATATTCACCTATAAATTATAGCTGTATTGAGCTATGATTTCTCAGATTTCAATTTTCATTAAATCGAAGTAAAGTCGCATAAAACAATAAGGTTTATGGTAATGTTGACTACAAAAAGTATACATTTAGATGTTTATTTTCATTTTTCATAAATGTAAAATTTCCGATTTTTTTACGTCATTATTTTTTAAAAAGAATACTTATATTTAATGTCTTTTGTTATCAACCTAATGATAAAATCTTCTTTTAAAAGCGACTTTGTTTCGTTTTCCTTCAAAAAGAACATCACAGGAAAATAGCTCAAAAGACCTATTTCAGATAGGTCAAATTATAGCTCAATCGGCAGAGTGTATTGGACCTGGTAATATCTTGTATGAAATTTCTTTGAGAGAGCATCTAGCTTTTCTATTTAAAAATAAAAAGTGAAGGTGTGCATATGTAAGAATGTAGGAAATATTTTACCTTTCACATTTAATGGGATGACCACAGAAAAGTATATTTGACCAAATAGAGTATAATACAATGTATCATTGTTATGTCCAATTGCGATCTCAATTAAAACAACCAATATATTGGTAATTAAAAACCTACTAATAATAATGCTGAATATTCAAAAAATTGCATCATCCATGAAGATTTGTAAAATTCATACATGTAATCTTAACCTTCAGTTTTGGGTGAAGGATGAATACAAAATGTTGCATAAATCCATATTTTTTATTTCACTAGCCTTAGATCATCGGGAAAACATTATTGCTATTAACACAAGTTTATGGACACATTTTGCAGTAACTTATTGTAAAGTTACCATTAGATACACAAACTATAGACTAGACTGTACCTGGTTACCCCAGCTGGTCCAGTCAGGAGTGAGGTTTCTGGCAAACAGTTCCAAACAGTGAGGGTTTGGTGGAAGATATTCCTTCATCACCTCTGTAAGTATACACAGCAATGAGTCTGAACTCTCTCTCATACACATACTATATATAGTAACACTGAACCAGTACTGTCTATAAATACCAGTCATGTTTTCAGCATTTCCAGTCCGGTGCATAAACAGCACAGCTGTCCTTTATCTAATATTGCTACATTATTACTGAACAACACTTCAAGATCAATCGTTTTTGTAGCCCTATCATGGCATGCTAATAGCCAAATATCATTACCTTGGGCCTTTTTAGTTAATCAGGAGAAGTTGTTCGAAGATTTTTTAAAACATTTGACCCTTGTGACCTTGAAAGTGCATCAATGATATTCATTTGAATAAACTCTGTAGCCCTTCATCCCAGCATGATACTTGCTAGACATCATTTCTCTGGGCTTTTTGCTAATTCAGAAGAAGTTGATTAAATATTTGAACATATTTGACCCCAGTAACCTTGAATGAGGGTCAAAGTCAATTCATTTGAACAAACCTGTTAGCCCTTCATCCCAGCTTGCTATAATTGGCCAAATACCGTACCATTACCTTAGGCCTATTGGTTATTGAGAAGGTCTGTCATTTAAAGAAAAAACTTCAGGCCAGGTGAGCTGAAAACTGTGTCACAATTGCAGAAATAAGTTTTAAGGTAATCAAGTTTTATTGGTCAATGGGAACTCCAGATATTTTTTATGTGTGGTAACACTGGCCTTGACATTTGACTTTTAGGACCTGAGCAGCAATCCTATGTATTAAACATTTTTTATCAGGAATCGGTGTATTAAGATTGAGTTTGATTGGCCCACAGGAATTTGAGTTATTGTGAAAGAACCAATTATCTACCTATAGTATCAGTGACATTGACCTTTAAATTCGACTTTAGAGGCAGCCCCAAATATGCAATTTTTATAAAGAAGCAGTGTATAAAATCTAAGAGCGCTATTGAGCCAAGGGATCCTGTTAACAATAAGTGACCTTGACCTTTGACCTTCAGACCTAAAATAAACAATTTAAAAAATGACTTTTTCAAATAAGCAATGTATGAAGTTTTAGTTTACTTCAGTGAAAATAATAAGGTAAGTTTACATTGCTTGCTGAAAACATTTGCTTCAAAATAATTAGTCACCCTCAAATAAGACTACAGGCTTTGACTGTCAGTCTGTGGGTAACTTTGTTTAGGGAATCTGCATCAGCAATTGCCAAACTTTGCATATGAGTACCCCTGGGATTGCTTGGAATACTTTGCCTTGTTTTATGTACAGACAATTTTTTCATTAAAGAGCTTTGCTGTGTATACAAGAGTACAATGTTGTCAGACTTGCCTTGTAGTGGAGGTTTGACAGAATGGATACAGCAGGGAATGCTGACAATGACCTTACTGACGGGGATCTGTGAGGTTGCTCTCTCCTGTGAAACTGTCTCTTCATCAATACCCTCAGAATTTGTCTCAGTTTTTGGTTTCCTGCAGCTACCGATGATGAGGACTTCATAAGGCTTCCGGTGTGGAGAGTCAAATGTATAGACCATCTCACATGCTTTAGTGACCTGTTGTCAGAAAATGTGAAATCCTACTTGTAATAAACACTTTCAATAAATATTAAATGAGATGACAAAATAAACAGCTAAGAAACTCTTTGTATCTACAATCAAACTTGGTTTATATTTTTAAAAAAGTCCTATTATTTAATGATTTTATCAGCATAGTGAAAATTTATTAACCATAAACAATTTGAATTCGCTGTGATCAATATGAATTTTGCTATGATGGTGCTGGAATTATAAATTTAAAGTTATCTCTGATGTAGTGCTGTGGTCAAGCATCAAATTGAATACACTTATCTGACAAAGTGTCATTCTGGTACAGCATCTATCCTACACATTGACTAGCGACAGTATATTACCTTGACCCAGTGCCATTCAGCCAGAAACTGAACTGACCATCTAGGGAACAGTGTATCCTTGACGAACTGAATGTGCTGCCACCTGTTGGTGACCCATACCACCACAAGGGAGTTATCAGTCCCTAGCCTAGGAATAGGAATGTCTAGTAAGTCTTCATTACTCATACTGTAGTACCTGAAGAAAACAATAACATATCTTTTCATTAAATAAAGCCAAGCAAGTTTATCTGTTTTAACAATATCATTTCAATATGTGAAAAATTCACCTACCTAATTGCCTTAATTATCAATTCCTATAGCAACACAAATATCTATTTTGCCCTTTTATTAATCATTAATTAAAAACAAATATTTGTAAGTCATCTGTCTTAAAGTTCTGTGTAAAAACAGATCCGTAGAAAACCTTATTGTTTCAAGATGGCGGACCATGCAATTCGGCAATCTTTCTGGGAAGAAAACTCTGAAAATATCAATGGCTATGTAATTTGCACACCCTGAACATTAAACTTAATTTCAACACAAAAAATCTGCACAAATTACATGAGTTTTTACGGTAACACGTATGGAGTGCAATTACAATTTAAAATACAATAGTTTCTCAAAAGTGAGCTCTGAAGCTGAAACATCCTGCAGTTCCAGAAACAGAAACTATCACAGGTTAGGTATTTCAACTGTTATATTACAAGAGTGATCATAAGTCAAAATAATGCCATTTTTCTAGCTTTTTAATAGGACCACATTTACTGGTAAGTCACCTCACTGACAACTCCACTATAGATAACATAACTTTTGACGCTTACTACATATGCTTATCAATTCTTTCTTTTACTTACTTTTTTAGTCTCTTTACAGATTTATTTTGCCATGGAGGATCCATCACAATCATATCAAATCTGGGAAATTCTGAAACAGATGTTGTAGATTTCTTGAAGTCTCATCATATGTAGGTATGAGAACTCAAGGACGTGAAATCTGGAGTAAGAACCAAGGTTTGCAAAGGTTCTATCCCAAAGTTCTTTACTTAAATGTAAACTTTCCATATTCCATATATACCGAAAATATTACTTGACCTTTCTCCCACCTTCACCTAGGATTTTGGTAAAACTTGATACATGTACTGACATTATGAATGCCACAAGAAGTCTTATGGGTTTTCTAGATAAGACAAATTTAAGAAGATTTTTTTTTTTTTAAATGGTACATGTATATTACAGGTTTTGAGTCCTTAAGGTATTTGAGCCCTTAAGCTGAAATTTGCCAAAGAAATGAAGTAGAGCTAAATTAACAGTGTTTACATTTTTTATCAGCAATTTTTGTTCTAAAATTTTATCTGGAAAGTGAATTTGTAATCACTTCCTTTACTCCACAATGACAACATATTCGTTTCATTTTGCACCTTGTTTACTGCCAGCATATTTCAACGTCCCTTTTCCTCGTTTCCTTAAGAATTACTTTATACATTTTGCACAAGTTATTGACAAACCCTTTTATAACAACAAATTTCTGAAATGGTGGTACATGTAGTATAATATTTTACTGTATATAATGTGATATCACTATGATCCATACACATTAAAGTGTATCTGGTGAAAATGTTAACAAAGTTATTTCCACGATTTGTGTCCGCTACATTTTTGAATCAGAACAAAATATTTTGCAGATGATATTCTTACCTTCACTAAGAATAAAGAAAAGAAATTCACCAAAAAAAAGGAAAAGAACACCATACTTTTTGGCACTGCCTGCAAAACAACTTAAGCTCAAACAATCTGTATTCCTATACTTCCTGATGATACACTCCCTGTTAGGATTCTAGCCAAGCAAAACTTTGAAAAATGTTGTGTCTACTTTACAGGTGATCTGAACAAGGTTGTCTCCATTGGAATTAATACCATATTCAAATATCTGATTTACCATACCTCTCGTTTTACTGCCTAATCTCTTTATAACACCAAGCTTTCTCTATGACAAACTGTGGCTGGCAGTGTAACAAGGTTTTACTGTAGTAGTTACCTGTGCTTGTCTGAAGTAAGTTGACACGGCTGAAGTCCGACAAAAGGAAAGAACATCTTGGTGGCAGTAGGTAGAGGTCATTGTCCACACTGACCACAGCAGGGTCATCACGCGGGTAACGAACAGGTCTGTTTACAATGCTGCTCATCGTTACATCATCTGTAGTGTAACCATATAATTTCATCTGAATTATACAAGTGAAACATGGTGAATGTTTCTTAATGGTAAAATTGATAACTCTACCTATATAAAAAAAATTGTGATACTTCAATACTACAATAAAACAAAAAAGTATCTAAACTATGCAACATCTCCCCCAGCCAGATGAGTGATGATGTAAAGTCAAGAGATGTCACAACAGGAATGTTACATATGATTTCACAAGATAATTGGTACATCTGATAGAAATCAGGACCACACTGTGTTATATGTTTACCATTATGTTTCAAGATTATCCCCTGCTGGTCCTTGATGCTGGGGAAATCACCATGGTAACAGGATTCTTCTGTACAAATATCAGTCTCTCCAAGTGATTTCACTGCAGCCCGTGCTCTCACATTGTTGTCTAAATCCTGTAAATTCTTTTCAGTAGGAAAATAGCCAACTTCTTTCCCCAGTTCCAGCAATGTATTGACGGCTGTTAGTACTTGATCCTTGATCTGATCATGATATTCTGCAGCTTTCACTTCACCATAGTTCAGCTCGGCTTTCCTTTTTCTCTGTAAAAATAAATCAACTGGTATAGCAGGAAAAATAAAATTTGAAATGCCTTAATGTTCAAGCCTTCCTTTATGTTGTCAGAAAATTTGGAGGTTATGTAGATTTTTTTAAAGTTGTTTATTAGGTAATTTGTAAAATGCACTTCTAGCCCCAGTTTTCCTCGGGCCCTGACACTAGACTTAGACATTTTGACAGATAGAATAAGACTCCATACTAATCATCTATCAGTCAAAATGTCTAAGTCTGGTGTTAGGACCAGAGGAAACTTGGGCTATTGCATTTTTCTCATGGTTCAATTTCTTTTGAGTAGGAATATATTTTCAAATCATAAATGTTAAATACATATGCTGCGGTTCGAATGATTATGATCATGTATGAAAGATATATAAATACTTTTCTTTTTCTCTTTACACTTGACTCCAGTTCGCCTGTTGCCCCCATGTGACTGTGACTCTCTTGTGTGACCTCAAATTGGCTGTCCATCATAAAAGGACATTTTATATTAAAAAGATCAGCCTGGAATTGAAAGGATGTCAGGACTCCTTCATATGGCTGGGTATTCCTTCGACAGTAGGTCTGGTCTAAATATTGCTTGTGGTCTACAACCCAACCATGTTCATTTTTGCAGACAACAGCCATATCCAATCTTCTATTCACATAGTCTACACAGAAAACAAACCATAGTCAAAATTATAGAATCGTCATATATATACTGGATATGAAACTTTCTATTTGAGTATTGTATATATAAACGAGAAATAATAATAATTGAACAAATACATATTAAATTGTTTGTCCATCACTAGACTTGTAACATCAAATATAGAGCCGGTACTCGAGGTTATATATCTGCTTGGATTAAAGCCAGAGATTGTGGTTGGTCTTACTTGTCAATAGCCTGTAGATCAAGCTGTAGGAAGTGGCTGATATGTTATCATAGTTATGTAATCCTTGTCCTCAACAAACCTCCCGTATACAACATAACATATTATATTGCAGGCGAAACTAAAAAAAAAGACAGCAAGACAATTACCAGCTAGGCATCGGTGTAACTGGAGATGTCGAGGGATCACTTTTTGAAGTACTAATTTTAGTTATTCATGCATTGCTTTGATTCAAATCATCATTAATCTCTTCAAAAATGTTAGTGTATTTTTATACTCACACTAATACAGTGGAAAAGCCAGACGACTGACAGATTAAAAGCACGTGTGACAGACCGGTTGTAAACAAATCATTCTAATATTCAAAGCCGTCCGGAAATGATGAATAAATCCGGACTTTCTATGGTTTAATTTTTCCAAGACCTTTCTGTTATTACCTACTGTTATCCATTATAGTAGCATGAAACTGTATGATACATGTTCAGTATTTATTAGCACTATCTATTTCTTCAATATTTTCAAACAGATTTTGAGAATACACCTGTTAGCACTTTTTAGAAATTTATGATGGTAAAAAGTTTCTTTTTGTTTTGTTAATAGAACAGTTCAGTTTAAGACAAGTTTCATACAATGTGAGGTGAAGAAAGAAACTCCTTTTAAATCACAAAATATATTATCTGGTGTGGCAGAAAAAAATGACCTTTCAAAACAGCACATTTGTTTTTATATACATTCACTATTATTTTATACATGTGAATAAAACTGTGCCTTTGACTAATGTAGTCTACTGTACTGCATATTTATACTAAAATAGTAAACCCTGTTATACTGCCACCACTCTTCCAGAAAAAGTTTGGCATTATAAAAGGATTTGGTGATCTATTGATGAAGATTTTACCTACCTATCACGTCCGCATGTTGGAACTTGTGTTTCACCAATTCAAACCTTTTCAACTTTTTGAACATGTCCAAAATGAAGGTTTTTCTTAAATAAATATATTGGTTCCATTCAATTTCATTAAACTTCAAAAACGTTTGAGTTTAAAAATAATGAGATACTTTGAAAGGCATTCTATGAAATGTAAAGCTTATTTTTGCTGGTTCAAATTTTGTGGGCTGACACAAACAATCGAGAAGCCCAGAATATTCTTCATAATGCAGTTAATTAAGAGGTTGGGACAGAGTTGGCAAAAAGGGCGACTAACATAGTTGTACAAATAGTAAGGTTGTGTAATGTGGAGTAGCCTGTAAAAATGGGGACTGTAGCTGGTCTTGAGAAAAAGTTGTATATGTCTCAGCCAATCAGTGGCCAGGATATCTATTTTGAATTTTGGATCATCACAAAAATTAGATCCTATCAGAAGCTCATAAGGAACATTTGTCCTATGTTTGGAATCAATAGCAGTATTGGCTCTTGACAAGAATTCGAAAATGTCTCAACCAATCAGAGCCTGGGGCAGCCATTTTGAACTTTGGATTGGCCAAAGGAGTTTAAAAAAAATCAAGGTTTTTGTCATTATTATCAAAGACAACCACTTTTAGCCAAATTGAATTTTGAATCCAATTCAAATATGAATTTGAGTGGGGAATGGATGCTGTAAGTAATTAAGGATGTTTCATGAAAAAACATTCTGTAAGAGTCATATAATTGCATGGAAACCACTTTAGCTTCAAAATCTGTGATGGCCACAGGCCGCCATGTTAATTTTTAGGTCAATAATAAAATTAAGTGGGTTATTGATACTATTCATAGAAAATTTGATGAAAATCGTTTATTGAAGAGCTATTGCATGGAAGCTTTTGGGTTGGCAGGCAACACAAAAGTCTGTCTGACGAAAAATGTCCATAATCCAATTAATGACCTCTGAATACATTGCATTTGTTATAACATACCGTAAAACCCCATGTAATTTGCGCACCTTTTTTTCCAGAAATTTAATACCCAGAGTCGAATTACTTATTAATTGATATGTGTTTGTAAGCAAGTAAACGTTTTATGTAAAATATTGCTAAAATGAATTGATGTATGCTGATATGCACACACGTGTGTGTCATGTGTGATCAGATATTTCAAAGGAAACAAACAACAAAATACACATTTTACGCAGTTTCTTCTTAGTTTTAACATCATTGTACCTGTAAACAATACTTATGAACTTATTTATAATAAACAAATTACAAAGATTCTAAGAATCCCAAGCGGTTTGTCTATCATTTTCGATCGATTTTCGGAACTTGGAACATTTTTAAAAAAAAATTAGGTGTGCAAAATATTTGAGTAGAAGTGTTTTTTTGGTATTTTTAGCCTCAAAAAGTACCTGCGCAAATTACATAGGTGCCCAAATTACATGGGTTTTTACGGTAAGTCTATCTTACAATTCAACAATGATTCTCCAAAAAAATACTAAAACAAGACAAACAATGTTGATTTAATCTTTAGATTTTTATTATCACAGAAACAAGGACGGAATGCAGATTCTACAAATATAAATAAATGGATGAATGCATCAATAATTAAATGAATATAAATGTTATAAATTATATCTCACGGACTCAAAAGTTCCATTTCAAGGCTTTGTTGATACATTTCTCTCCTTAGCTCACCTTTGCTGATACACCATGATCTAATATAAATGTAAACCACCTCTGAAACTTAGCATCTATCCTGAGCCTCTCTCTGATTACTGCTACTCCCTTTTGTACCATCCCTGATTAAACTCATGCCTGTCAGAAATATCTATCTAATTAGCAGTCCTCAGACGTCTGATATCACAGTCCTGATGTTTACTGATCAGATACCCAAGATTAGTTGTTCACTCTCCAGTATATCAAACATATAACAATTTGAAGTGTGTCATCTTTGTACTTTTCTTGTGGATGTTGAATTCTGATGATATTGAATCACATGCTCGGTTTGCCTGCCATCTGGTTCTGAAGTAACGTATTGTACTCATCAATTGCTACATTTACTTTCCGACTGACAGGGCGGAAGTCACACTCCATAGTTTTGGCTGCAATGACTGGTATCAAAGTTAAGGCATTCAAAAATACAATACAAATATTAATTAATGACATACCTACCAGAAGAATTCTTTGTTTACTCACATATTAATGACATACCTTACAGGTGTATTCTTTATTTAACAGCAAAATAGGTACTGGGTCTACTCCAAAGTCAAAGCCTGCATGTTTGCGAAAAAAACAGATCCCTCCCCCCCCGTATAACTCTGACCTGCATACAAGTATTGACTTGTACTAAGGGTAACAGGTGCTTCCCTGAACCTGAAGCCAAAACTGTTTAATGGGATAGAAGTGGGGGATGAAGCTTTCATTGACATACAACACACCATGTAGTCTACCCTATGTCACATGTGATAATACCCTGTAATGTAGTCCAGAATCACGAAACGTTTTATACACATTAAACAATGCATCAATTGTTCATTCAGGATATTTGTTAACACAAGCTATGTAATCGGTAAATCAATTATAACAGAACTAAAGTACAGTTTCATACAGCTGTATGATTGATAAGGATACAGTCCTTCATGACAAAGTTGTTCTGTTCATGATGCTGCCATTTTCGCTCCAGATTTTCCAGCTGAAATAACAATAAAAACTCAATTTAATGCTATGTACACAGTACATTTAATCAGATATTCACTTTTTTTAACACTGTATTAAAATCTTAAAACATGAATTAGATGATATTGGTAATATTAAAAAGGTTCCAAAGTTAATAAATGTCACTGGCTTAACCAACACTGATACTTTTACAGTAAAAACAAACCAGTTGCTTCAAGAGAAAAGTATTTGTTACATTTCTTAAAACAAATAACACTATTTATATCACAATAAGCCGAGGGACCAACACATAGGTTACATTCACATATCCTGGTTGAAACCGTAAATGTGGTGCAGAAATATTCCACGATAAACAAACGCACTCAGACCGGTCTATAAGCAGAGCTAAAAAATACACAGTTTCGGAGAATGAAAAACAATGTATCAAGAATATTATGCCCTTCTTTCATGCGTCCACTGATTTACATAACGTATCTCAAAAATTACATGTGGCTTGACATTGTTTTATAAAGAAATTATGCAAACTAACAATAGTCAGCATTTTAGTTTAGGTCAGGTACGTCTGGATCCCTCAATCTACACGTGACAAATATTCCTGAGGTCAGCCTTGGTCCAGGTCTGTGCCTGTCATTTTCTTTTCAAGTTCAACCATTTCAACCGGATAATCGAATATACCCCTGATCTCTGTTTCAAAGTAGTAGTGGGCTGATTACAGGACAATGAAATAGAAGTTTTTTTCTACTGAACTGCAATAAACATGAACGGGCTAATTACCAGGCATGGGCTTATCGCTGGATAAATACAGTGGTAGTTAATTTTAGAATCACCCTTTACCTGATTGAAGGTTTCATTGTCCTTCAGGTGAGATTTCAGTCCCTCATACTTTGCTGTTACGTGCTGCATTGTTTTTTTGAAGGTGTCTCTACGTTTCTGTAGTATTATCCTATCCTCCATCAGTTTCTGAAAATAATGCATGACACAATGTATTGTCAGCTTAACTTATAAAATTACATTCATCACTCACCTGGTCAGCAGAATTACCAATGAAGCCATATTCTATACAAGGCACACAGTACACATAGCTGAAAGTGATGTGTTACTATGACAGGTTCTATGAAACCCATTACCTCTTGAATCGGATGTTTAACCAGGTGGTTTAATAAATCATAAATACAGTTTTTAAATTTTTGATTTCAACACAAATGCAAAACGCGAAGAATCCTTAATGCTCACACAATATCTATGGACCGTATCACTTAAGGAACATTGTACCAAGTGATCAATTGATCAAGCCATTCTAAAGAAGTAAAAAGTCACTGTCAGAGGCTATGAAAACCATCTTTCATTTTCAGATTGACATGAAAAGTAAAAACACTTGGTACAGTTTTGTTTTCATTGTGCATATTTGTGGGGGTTAAATTTCGCTGTGCACCCGAATCCCATGTGATGTTCAAAGTATTTTGAGTGTAATCATTTAAGGGTTAAACCTCGAATTACAGGTAAACCATTTGAAGACACTGATCACAAGCGTCGTCATCCACCAGTGACTTCACTCGAAAGCTAATCAAATGTGTATGTACCTTTGAAGGAGTAAACTGTAATCAATGAATCACCTATTGTGTACACATTAATATATTGTGGCCACTTATAAGTAAGTGTTGTGTTTATGTGTACTGCCCAGTTGTCCGGTGGTAATCTTATTTGAGTTTATTTAAGCTTGCATAACAGCATTGGGTTATAAGTATTTGGGTTATAAGTATTTTCAACATGTTGTGATAAGGTCCATAAAATGGTGAACAATTTTGATATTCACGGATATTAGTCAAAGCATGAATATAGTAAAATTAAAACCCTTGCGAAATATGACCGCTATACAGTACTCATAATATTGACAAGCTCTGCACACAATGGGACAAATAATGAGATTAAATTTAATACTTTTTATGTCAAAAACCACAGATAGAAATACCTGTTTTTTCTGTTCCGAGTTTTTTCGGAGTGTGTCGAGGTCAGAATATACCCCTAACTCCTTCTCCATAGAGGCGTTCTTTTCTCCCAACATAACCAACTCTGAGTTGATCTTGTCTTCCAGCTGTTCCACCTTCTGTAGGTCCTGTTGTAGCTTGTCACTCTCTACAACCAATCAATCTTACCGCAGTGAATCACGGATCTAATCATTCTTACCGCAGTGAATCTCGGATCTAATCATTCTTACTGCAGTGAATCTCAGATCTAATCATTCTTACTGCAGTGAATCTCGGATCTAATCATTCTTACCGCAGTGAATCTCGGACCTAATCATTCTAACCGCAGTGAATCTCGGATCTAATCATTCTTACCGCAGTGAATCTCGAATCGTATCATTCTTACTGCAGTGAATCTCGGATCTAATCATTCTTACTGCAGTGAATCTCGTATCTAATCATTCTTACCGCAGTGAATCTCGAATCTAATCATTCTTACTGCAGTGAATCTCGGATCTAATCATTCTTACTGCAGTGAATCTCGTATCTAATCATTCTTACCGCAGTGAATCTCGGACCTAATCATTCTAACGGCAGTGAACCTCGTATCTAATCATTCTTACCACAGTGAATCTCGGATCTAATCATTCTTACCGCAGTGAATCTCGTATCTAATCATTCTTACCGCAGTGAATCTCGGACCTAATCATTCTTACCGCAGTGAATCTCGGACTAATCATTCTTACCACAGTGAATCTCGGATCTAATCATTCTTACCGCAGTGAATCTCGGACCTAATCATTCTTACTGCAGTGAATTTCGGACCTATTATATTTACTCTACCAAATCATACCAATGAATCTAAAACAAACAAGTATCTGAGAACTTCTTACTTGGATGGACAAGAACTATACAATACAAATATGATATTCCATTTAAAATCTATCATATCAAGTTTTATTTAAAGTATGTTCTCATTTAAAAGAAATTTTCTGGAAGTAGAGACAATTGATTTTCTCAAATATTGACGAGTAATTTAAATAGTATAATGATAATAAAAAGATTTTTTCAAGAATACCATTTTGTTGCAGGGATCATCAAAAACGATACTGTGAATGTCTTTTATTTGCATTTCTGAGCCATGATATCAGTAAAGCTGCATTTAACTGATTTGGCAATGTCTTTCTTTTTGAAGATCTTAAGTTACAGTATTTAATATTACAAAATAACATTTGTTAATGCATACTGTTGTCATTGAAACTACATGATCACAAAAGCTATGAATGGTCTGTAGAGGCCTTGCAGAATGCTTATGTAGTTGATAGTAGACAGGTTTCAGGTCAATAATAAATTAAGGATCCCCGTATCACTGCCAATATATGAAACTATGCATTCATAACTTATTTTTTCAGCATGACTATAGCTTTGATAAATCATTTTTGAAAAGAAAAACATACCTTGCAGGACTTTTATGAAAACATAATGAAGATGAAATGAACAAAATACATTCAACAAACGTGTTCCGAAAGAAAATATTCTGCGGGCTCAGACCAGGTTTCGAACCCTAGACTTCAGATTGTTATACCATCTCTGAAACCGATTGAGCTAGCTGGACCACGGTAGTGTATGATCCCAAATGTGCTGCAGTCATATCCAAATGGAAGTTAACGGGAGGTTACTCTATATAGGAAAAACGACCGTACAGTGAGACTGGTATCCTTAAGTTCAGTTACAGAAATCTTTCATGATATGAATTTAACGTACATTGGTGGTTTTTTTAGTAACAAAGACCTCAATTTAATATCCCCAATAACAATAGGGAATTCTGCAATGTTTATTAAGTCACATTTGAACCTGCTCTTCTGGCTGGAAAGACAAAATGATTGCTATAGCACAATCAATTTTCCAAATGCAAGGCCTTCAGGCTAACTATACCAACCTGCTGCTAGTCCGAAGGTGGTAGTTTCTGATTTTTTCATTTCTCCAGTTTTGAAGTCCAAGTCTTGTTTCATTGTAGCAAGCTCTTGTGGACTTGGTAAATGTGAGAATCGACTCATGTTCTGAAAGAGCAACAAAATCAACATGCATTTTAATGAAAAGCCTGCATGTGAAAATTATATCTATGAAATATACCACAGTGTACTTTGTAAAGAAAATATCAAAATTTAACTCTATCATCTCAATTCATACTCAATGAATTAAAATTTGTAAGTTTGCTACAATCTTCCATAATCCAAATATGAAATACCTTTTACCTCTCTGGACTAACCTCTCCGGAAGTCTGAATTCTACATACATATACAAACACAAAATACACCTGTGTCAATCAACCAACTGAGGTCCCAGGATAACAATTCCAGGTAGTATTACCTAGTACCTGTATCTTAATGTAAGACAGTTACCCACTCACCCGACTAATGTGTTCCAAGATACTGACAACATTCTGTTCCAGCTGATTAATTCTTTGCTGAAATTGCACAAAGGAAAATTAGCTCAAGTACACTTCAGAAACAGAATAAATTCTGAAAGACAGGAAATAAAAAACAGAGATACTGTAGCACTATTATGTATAACAATGGCAACTAAAATCAATTTTTAATCATACTGCATTTTTTTGGGGGGGAAAAGTACATCTATGCTGTGTCATTTTTAAAAGCTTAACAACTTATAGTTTTACCCACATTTTTTCCAACAAAAGCTTTACTAATGATGGAATAAAACAATTGTGAAAATTCTATCCATTAGGTTATACAGAAAAATTAACAGTGCTAAAAAGGCATATCCTTCTTTCCAAGTTTTGATGTAAACCTACCCCTTCTTGCGTTTTAGATTCTTCAAAAGTATTGAGGAATTCTGAAATGAAATGAAAATTTGAATTAATTTCAGGACTTACTGTATATTTCACTTGTCTTGTAGACTCCTGTCTTAGCGAGTTACCTTATTATGTTATTATTGCCAAATAGCTCAGAGAAAACATAAATAAACCAAATTAAAACTAGAGAAGCTGAGCGAGCCAACGAAGATTTACCCCCCCGCTTGTGCTTATAATGTTTCTTAAGCAGAAATTGAACTTTCAAAGGCTATAACTCCTAGGAAAATAGTCAAATCACAAATTCCTTTCTTCATGCACATTTACCTAGGTAAATATGATTCACTTTAACTGTACCAAGTTCCAACAAATTCTAACACACGGTTAAGGAGGAGTTGCGCTTTAATATAAGAATCATGGACAGACAGACCGACCGACAGACAGACAGGTTGATACCTATATACCCCCCGTCAAACTTCTACATTATCACTTTCATCATGGCTTATTTCTAAGACCCCTACAAAGTTACCAAGAAGGAGTCCCTTTCTCATCCTCCCTTTCACCACATCTCACTGTCTTTGAAAAATCCTCTAATTGGTCTCTGTCTTGACTTTATAAAAATCCTCTAATTGGTCTCTGTCGTGACTTTATAAAAATCCTCTAATTGGTCTCTGTCTTGACTTTATAAAAATCCTCTTATTGGTCTCTGTCGTGACTTTATAAAAATCCTCTAATTGGTCTCTGTCGTGACTTTATAAAAATCCTCTAATTGGTCTCTGTCGTGACTTTATAAAAATCCTCTAATTGGTCTCTGTCGTGACTTTATAAAAATCCTCTAATTGGTCTCTGTCGTGACTTGATAAAAATCCTCTAATTGGTCTCTGTCGTGACTTTATAAAAATCCTGTAATTGGTCTTTGTCGTGACTTGATAAAAATCCTCTAATTGATCTTTGTCGTGACTTTATAAAAATCCTGTAATTGGTCTTTGTCGTGACTTTATAAGCTTGAAAATTCCACTTGGAAACATGGAGATCATATGAGAAATACCAACTCACTTTTCAATACCGCTTGTTCCTAATACCCCTCTTGTAATAATTTTATTGTGTGGAAAGTTTTCACATGACTTGTTGACCTACTTTCATTTTCAGTGTATCTATTATTAATCAATACCATCAGTAAATATTTATTGCTCAACAAAGAAACAAATCATTGTAAATTAAACAAAGCACTAACACCAATGCTTTTTTGTGTATATTTTGAAGAAGATGTTTAGACTTAACTCAACATCGCAAGAAATCACGTCAAAATATTGAAATATACAGTTCACAGGAGAAAAGTGAGAACATTGCCTGAATTCTGCGATCATGTCGTCTTGAGTTATATTTACCATCCATTGTTTCCTCTCGTTTCTTCAGTTCTTTGTATTTTTGATTTCTTTCGCCTGCAAAAAGACATGACCATTATGGTTAATAACAACTTGAAATCCCCTATATTAATCTGCAAAGCACCTGCTCAGAACAGCCCCCCACCCCCCAAATACTTGTACTCTTTTGCATTTATTACACTACACACTGATCTTTCTCCATATGAACCTACATTGATCTTCTATATTTTACCAATAGTGATCTTCCTCGATTTACCCAATTTCTTCTTTTTTATATTAACCTACCTTGGTTCTCCTCTATATCAATATCGAGTTGTCTGCTTTCTTCTTCCATTTGCTCAATTTTCTCTCTGATCTCCTTTGTCCTACAAACAATTGACATTTATAGATAAAAGAGAAGATAAGCAACTGCTAAATCCCAAATGGCAACCCCCTACTGAGACCTAGGGAAGAATGTAAGTTATCCTCTACAATAAACCCTGGTATTGGACGTTAAGCCTTTACACTCGACTCATGGAAAAAGTTGTTTAATATGATGATTTGCTTATCCAGCACATCACATTCTCCATGAATACAGAAAAATCTGTCATTTATATTAATTGCAATGGTTTTAAGTAGACAACATTAATCGTTAAAATCTGTCGTTAACAACAAACTTCTCAAAGCAATCAATACAGCGGATACATTTTACTGTGTTACATCAACAGTGTTTAATGTACATACTGTCTCTCTACACTGGCGATCTCCTGGTTGTCCTCTTTGACCTGTTTTAAGAGGCGTTCCCGTTCCTCGGCAGGTGACACGGTTGTCTTTGTCTCCTCTACCAGGCTATCTCTCTTAGACTCCAACTCGTTCAGCTGCTCATAAAGTCTCACTAGAAACAGAATGAGTCATGTTTTATAGTTTTAAAAATACATTAGACCACAAATAAAAATAAGTATCATTTTATTTCTACGATTTGGAAAATTTCCACATATGAATACTGTAGACACCATTTACAATTACCGCGGGTAACACACATATAAAGGTTTTAAGTACATGTATGTATATAATCTAGTATCTGACTACAAGACAGTGTTTTATAATTACATTGCCAAAAGATTAATAAATTTTAGATTAAAAAGAACATTCTAGGATTAACGGCATTCTAGGATTTGTTATTAACACTAAATATTAATACATTAAAAGAATAAGATTTGATACCCCTTGAAAGGAGACTAGCTATACTTACCAGCTTCTTGCTTGACTTGTGATAAGGACAATTCCTGTAAATTAAATCAATATCAAGTCACACTGCATCCTATCAAAAACGTATACAAAACCTACTTTATAGTCAGAAGCTTAATTGGTGCATTATTTTTTAATTTTATACAAGCTAGATTTGTCCATAGATTAAGAGGACTTAATAGTCCTACTATATAGCCTGTTTGCATTAAGTATGTGCCTACATGTTGTATTTATCTTAGATATAGGGAAGACTTCAACTGAATTGTCTCCTGCTTGGGGGCTTGTCATTTTTGTCAGAATGTTTGCAATGAGCATGCTCGTAGTGCAAAGTCAATAGTTTGTAAGGTTCTTATCTAGGTTTCAGAATTTCTTGTGATTTAATCATCGCGTTTGACCAATGTTTCAAGATCTCAAAAAGCAAAGTTTAATGTCTGTTTTGAGATCCCCAAATTAAAAGGCAATCAGAACTTTCTGAAATACATGTAACATATACATCACACTAGATGTGATTGCAACTTACATGTGCATACAATATATACGTTTCTGTTACGCTCACAAAATCAGTTACCAGTCAAAATCTAAATGTAGGTTATTGCAATACATCATTCAGTGGCAAACCAAATCAGTTTTCACTAAAATGTACTATTGCTGATAATGTTCTTTAAGCATGTGAAATGGCTGAACCAAGTACTCAATTTCAGAAATAAGTAAGATGATTCTGGGTATTCATGACACACACCTCTTGTTGTGTTTCTATCTTTGAGTTGAGGACGTCCAGTTCCTGTTGACCTTTTTCCAGCTGCCGCAGCATGTGTTCGTTCATATCCTTTAGCTTTACATACTTTTCCCTCGTCTCAGGTTTCTAAAGAACAAAACGTTGTGATATTATAATGGGATTCACTATAGAACCAATTTTGAATTGAAAGCTGGAAGCTGTGCTACTCTTTTAATTCGTCTGTATGGAACTCAGATTTCAAAATTCAAAATTTCTCATACTTATTGTAACATTTGTCTTCAAGACACTTCTATTACTGTGCATGATCAGAAAAACTGCCAATCAACCAACGTACCATATCATTGACAAGGTTGTCTGCCATCCTCTTCTCCTGGTCAAGTTCCTGGTCCAGCTGCTGAATAGCCTCCTCCTTGCTGTAAATCACACAGCCAGAATGTTCGACATTAAGACGGAATATAAACTCAGGCATGTTACCATGTACACAGATATATAATAACATCACCATGTGACAAATAATTATGATCTCATGCTTTAAATCCAATTTGACTAAACATAAAATTGACAGCAGTAGCCATGATTTATAAAGATAGGTGTTGATAGATTTCTTCAGTCTTACTATCATTCAGCTTTAACTATAAACATACTTATTTTAGCACACTTGATTTTTTGCAAACTATCAATATTTAAAAGATTAGCACATTGATGAATTGGTGCACCCACAATATATGCAATAAATTAAGGTTTACTGAAACATTTATTAGTGTTATCATAATTGAGTGCAAAAGTTTAAAGTGCAAAAAAATGTTTGTATAAGAATACTGCTAAAAGTAAGTACATTTACAGAATACAGGCTAAATTAAAACACAGTAAACATCATCTGTAAACAGATACCTGAAAGGTGATCATAATTCTTCATCAATGTTGACTTACATTTCTGTAACGACCACAGTTCTATATGTTGTCATTATATACTCACGTTTTCTTCACTTCAAATAATTCTTCTATCTTTTTTGTCTCCCTCTCATTACCATTCCTCAGCTAAACCCAGAAACACAAACATCAGGATACACTTTACTGAGGTAATAATCCCTTACAGGTAAAAGGCATTGAAATATATGTTTTCAATATAACATGATAGATAATTCATTTTCTGAGAGGCATTCCTGAAACTTACCCATGATATCATTGTATAGATAGAAATAAATGAGCCTGAGAATATATGATACCATAAGGAGTGATCCAGAAATAACCAATGATGAGGGGTGGGAGACACTTTTTCAGAGACTCCGCCAATTATCAATATATTGAAAATCATTGGCAGACAGTTCTGGTTTTAAACCCACTAATAATATATTAAAAGATTTGCCTGCCATCTCCCCCAATACAATTACTAATTTTTAATTATGGAATTGCCACAATTTAGCTTACTACATGATTATAAATACCATCAATTTAATCAAACTTACATCATTAAGATCAAATTCAACATCCTGGATGTCTTCATCTGTTGTTAACTTGTCAACCAACTGAAACAGAAGTAGACACATGTACTTGGGAGTGCAGGGTATTGATATATGAGATGATAGTGATAATTTAGCTACATGTTTATAACACACTCAGCTGTACAATGATCAATGCTGGAACTGTTCAACACTACAGTATATCTAACAACATAACTTTTGTTACAGAATCATGGTCAGAAGATAGAACCGGATGTAGGATGCATTCTGAGACAGGATTACAATCATAGACTTAATAACAATATTTCAACTTGATACATTATCTGTTGAAGTTATTTTATTTTTTTGTAAATCGGAATGAGCAACTTCATTTTGTAAAATAAAAATACATGAACAACATACCCTGTGATGTGTGAGATTGTACTTACCGTATTGTAGTCGCCCAGTTCTCCCTGTAGATCTCTGATCTCTGTCGCTAGCTGTTCAGCTCTGTCAGAAAACAATAGAGTTTTATGTAGTCTCACAACATATTAAATTTACATGTTAAAAGACTTTATTTGATTATTTTTTTATTTCTGATTAACATTTGTTGGATTTTCAAATGAATTTAAATTACATACACTGCCTAGTGTATGTAATTTAAATTCATTTGAAAATCCAACAAATACAACCTAAAGATGTATTAAAACCACTGTAACACTGAGCTCAGGAGAAACACTTTCCCGTTCTCGGTATGGTCGTAAATGGTTGGAACAATCTCCCCAGTTTAGAATATGCCATGCTAATGTTCATATATTCTGAATTATGTAATACACTGTACATTAATAACCAATCTGTTGTATGTTGTTATAAAATATTTGATGATATAGACCTAGGGTCTTGCAGCATTTGATTATCACTATTCCATGAAAAATTCATCAAAAAATGAAAATTATATGTAAATAAGTCCTAGGAGAACTCTGGCAGGTACTTACAACTGTGACATAAGGAAGACTTCATTTTCAATGGAATTATATTTGACATATAAATTTGATTTTGAAAATGAATGAATAAATATACTCACCTTTTCTCATATGTCAGATATGTGGAATTTTCGTCCTGTGTACTATCAATCTCCTTGTTTAATCTGGTGTTCTCTGTATTTAATTCATTGATCTTACTCCTACAAAAACAATTTAAGATGTATATTTTATATACAGTATACATACTTGCACACTCTTCCTATTTAGGAGGGAGACTCCCAATTTTGAACCCTTGAATTTATTTTTTTCAACCAGCACATTTGCTAAACTACTCTATAAATATTCTAAGATCTAATGATTTCATCTGAAAAAAACAAAAAACTCAAAAGAAGTCATTTTAATGGGATATTATGTCTCCAGCAGGTAGGTATGTGGTATATACACACATCTTATTTATGCTTTAATTTTGAACAGACAGAATCTTCCCCATGGAAATTTCAAAAGGTTGGTAAGTATGAGTATAAAGCAAACCTTATGAGATACATATAATGCATACATATATAATGCAAAATATATATTTCGGACCTGGAAGAGTGTTATTGGGAACATTCTTTATAAAAGCTTTAGCCAGTCCAGAAACTTGTTCATGTATTAAGACTACACCTATGGAACGGTTGTCAGTCAAACTACAATCCTTTGGGAACAAACACAAAATATTTACATTCTCTGACGTTTTTAAGAAATAAAACTATATTCTGATCTGCAAAATTTATGTTTCCTGTGTCTGGAAATTTATTAACACAGATATTTTAAGATTACTGGTATATCCCAGAAATTCTCATCTCTCGCCAATATGTACAGTACCTGATCAGTCCAAGGAAGTAGGTTCTGTCCTGGACCTGTCTCTGTGGACCTGACCCTGAAATAAATAACACATCAAAGTAAACATCACATCACAATAAAAAAAAACAATTCATAATAAACAACATGTCACAATGAACATACACATACTTTCTTCAGATTACAAGATGTTTTTCTTTTGCCATATCATTTGGGATATTTTCATATATGATTGCAATTACCTTTGATTCCAGTCTTCATGCCTCCCAGACCTTGCTGCGTCATAGGGCGGTCCACAACCTTCACCTGGGCATTTAATGCTGTATACAGATGGAAAGACATCATTATCAAAGTATCAAGCTCTTTTATTATATAATTTTGCTTATCACTTGGGTTGCTGTCCATTCAATACAATTATAAAAAAATATTCCCACTTTCGTTCTTAAATAATTTCTACATATTCAGAAATTGAATGATAATCCAATGAATGCCAGTACTCACCAACTCCCCCTCCCAAAGAACCACCTCTGGTACCTGGACGAGCAGTGCCAGGATTCTGTGGAATATAAAATTATTTGTTCTTAGTTGTGTAGTAGGACCAGGAATAGTGATAAAGATAGTGCCGTCGCTGGAGCTCGAACCTGTGACCCTTGGCTCTCCAGCCCGATGCTCTACCGCTGAGCTTAAGGGAAATTCCCTACAGCTGACGCTTGTAAGGCAACCTAATCTTTACTATTATTAAAACCAAAGTAAATGCCATTACTTTACACTAAAAAAATCATGGCTGAATCATTGAGAGGTAGCATATTTCTTGCATTACAATGATATCAGATACTTTAAGTGGTAGTCCTCTTTGTCACTATGCCCTATTGTATAAACTGTAACTACTACTAAAACACTACTTTCCTAATGTTTAGTTGTTGTTTACACTATTACATTGAACATTCATATTATAATCCTTTAATAACCATTAGATTAATGACAGACCAGTATTTATATCTGTAATTTATCATTGCTGGGGTCAGTATTGGAGGTTAATGGATGATTTATTTCTTATTTACCATTGCCGTGGTCAGTCTTTAAGATGTTAAATAATGACATATTTACCATTGCTGTGGTCAGTCTTGAAGCTGTTCCTGGTTGTATCCCAGCAGCTACAATAGTCAGACCATTAAATAAACAAAATAATCCTCATCAATTTATAACAATAGGACGTACTGTATTTTTCCTAAAACTTCAATGATGGAGAATGTATATGTATATGCATGTAACCATATCATTGTTAATTAGTGACTCAAAAAGTTACCTTCGGGTTTGAAAAAAGGGGCCATAGTATCATTATAGAGGTGGAATTTCAAAATTATAAGGGAGATACTCTAGGTTCTTTATTCTTGAGAAAACACTAAATCCATTTCATAATTTGTTGGCAAAATTCAATACCTGTTCCCATTGCTCCCCTCGCTCCCGTCTTGGGGCGACCCCCACTAGCAGTTGGTACTCTACCACTCCTGAAAAAAATCAAATGTAAACATCATGAAATGAAACAATTAAATCATATTAGCATACACTATTTCATTTGCCCGCAAAGCATGTTCATAAAGTGAGCTTCATTGGTATTACAGATGTACACCAGTGAAATCCCTGTCAAAACTGATACAAATCAACCATGAAATTATTTCATATCCAGTGAGTTCAACCATTTGGCTAACACTTCACTTTTCCCTTTTGGGAACAGCAGGGGTACAAAAAATACATGATTGATTCCAATACAAAAGCATACATCTTCAACATATCTTTCTTGCCTATGTTTAACTCTCTGCAATGTAAAAACAGCTAATCAGTACCCCTAAGTGGCACAAAGCTGCTTACAACCTTATTAACCATGATGACATCATTGACAATGGAATTCATGAAAGACAGAAAAAGATATTGAAAATGTTTCTTTGAAAATAAAATGCTGATACCGGAATACAAATCCATCTGTCATATTTTGTTTAATATACTGCATACTGTAAGAATGTAGCACTGCCATACAAACCAATGAAGAACTGAAATTGTCATGAACTCTCTTTTTTTATCATGTTGGGAGATATTATGCCCCCCCCCCCCCCTTTTTTTTACTCATAACTGGTAGTCAACCCAATTCAAATAAACTGATTTGGCAATTATGGCTAATAGGTTAAACTTTAGTTTTAATAAGTTACGTATGATTAGCTAAGAAGAAGTTGACCAAAAAAACATGCATTAGCCGATCAAGATCATCCTAAAATATTGTCGCTAAGGTAAACGCCAGACAAATCTAGAAATTTTGTTGGCGATTTCAGAATGAAAACAACTTTCCTACAGCCTACATTCCAAACACTGACGCATTTATATAGATTTGAACTGCACAAATGTATCACTCATATAATGAATTTTAAATCAAGAATCAACAATGCTTACATATTCCCTCTATTAGACGACTTCAGTACAAAATCATGAAAGTGTTCTCATCGAAGTATGTGGGCAATGCATTGTGGGATAATGGTGTTAGGCGCGAGTATTTTTAAGATTTAGAGTAGCTTCCCTTCATCTAAAAAAGAGGCCCATAGGATCTGTACAGCTCTATTAATATTGCAAAGATTTCGTCTTTCGGGCTTCACCTGTCAACTTCATTAGCGCCAGCATCATTAATGTATATCACATTTGATTCCTTGGTCCCGAAAATGCTTGAAATAATAGCAAAGTTAATTAAAAAATTATCAAATGGTCAGGATTAGTAGGTTTTAAATGAGAAAATATCATTTCTCATCTTTTATTCATGTTTAACGATTGATACACGAGTACTGTCAACTAGATTTTCTCAAAATTCACCGGGTTAAAATAAAATGCATTTCTCTTCCCAAAAGAGCCAAAACTAATAGGAGGTTAATTCCTTGTGCCTTCCACATTTCTTTTTGTATTATGTTTACCCGTTGTGGGGATCAAAAATCAAAAGAGCTTCTATCCGAAGCTGGTAAGGCTTCGTTGACACTTTATCTCAATACATCCTTAACACAAACCCTTTTATCCAAGTTTTCGATCCCGAAGACCACCCTAGCTATTACCAAACAGGTATATTTATAACCGCCAAGGGTTCTCCACTACCTTGTACGGGAAGTGGCTTGGCACCAGTTTTAAATAGGAAGGAGTAATATGCCTTCACAAGGGACCGAGTCAGCGGTCCATGATTTTCTAATCGAACACTGTACAATTGAGCTAAAGGGAAATTTTGACAATTCCTCTAAGCGTGAAGCTTAAAGGCAACCGTGACTCCTAATCCCTTTTAATGGATGCGTTATCACATTGCTAAGCATTAACCTAGTGCTTGAAACAAGGGTTGGTTCGAACCCGGGACCCTCTGAACTCTAGACGGACGCTCTACCAATTGAGCTGGGGCCTTTTCGGGTATAAATCCTGACGGACTTGAAATGTTTATGCAGGCTTTCCAATACTTTGTCAAGGCTCGCCTGAAAGCAGCAACATGTATTACTATTTCTGACCTTTTTTAATAAACAAACAACTGTGGCCCGACAGGTTCAACCTTTTAAACGAAAACGGCCATAGTCACCGACGATCCACCCAGTCCAGTTCCGCTACATAAGCATATCTGAATAAATAAATAAAGTGTCATGAATATGTTTGTAGTTTCCACCTGGACTGATATATAGGGTTGCTCTCAAATGAGCTGCTGTAAATTCTAGACTGAAGTTAACTTCACCTCCAAGCAGATAATACATGCTTTCATTTTCAGATAACGAATATATTGACTAAATGACAGGTCGTGTATATTGGCTATATTCATTATGGCCATTACTTATCTCTAATAGTGTCCGTAAAATCACATCTTAACATGTCCGTAAAATCATATCTTAACATGTTCTGTATGATCTTGGTAGAGCTCACCACACCTGTGACAAAGGTCTGTAGTATTACTATTTCTAACTGTTACAATAAGATTCATCACAAAATGTATCTTATCTCTGTACATGGGGTATTTCTTGGATAACAACCATAAACAGTGCGGTTGTAACTTATCACGAATGAATTTGCTGAAATAATAGTCATTTGAGGTACGTTTCCTAAAATCGTTCTTCTGTATGCTTGAAACAGACACTTTCACTATCGTTTTCCAGTTTCTCTTATCAGGAAAATTACAGTTATCTATAAATTCATGCACATATTTTTACAGACTATACTTCCGAATGATTCTAAACAAATATAGACATAAACTATGCTTTTTAATCAAACGATTTGTATCCATCGAAAAAACTGCTGCAAACAATCGATTAAAAAAATGAACGATAACGTATCCCTGCCCATTCTACATAGCATTCCATAAAACAGTAATTTCTTGACGTCAGTAATACTTTCTATGGATGGCCATCCTATTAGACTACAGCACACATCGGCACGGGTTCTTCTTTCAAATCCTTGTGTAGATTTTACTACAAAAGTGTGAGCCCTTTCTAACATAAAAAATGTTCGTGATAAATACCAAAGTTCGCAACAAGTAGGCTTCTCCTAGCCCTTGGCAAAGCTGAAAATATTATGTCTTACCTCCCAACCTTTTCCTCCACTTTGTTTCTATTTCATTTCTATTGTCTGTCCAGCCAATAAAGTGCAATATACATTCATGTAAATAACTTTATGTGTATGATGCCAGGATGTGAGAGTCATGTGACATGTGAAAGGTGATCAAAATATAATGTGTAGGAATGATGAGATATAGAGTATGGATGACATGCCGTAATGAATGATGCTGATTAGGATGTGATGAAATCATGCCTTGTATATTTGTTTGTTCTTGTTTTCTTGATAATAACAGTGAGGATGATGATCACATGTACATGATGCGAGTATTTATGGTAATGACCAGTGTTGATTTGTATTTTTTCTCTGTATGATTATGACGATACAATGACATTATGATGAATCGAAATGAAAGGAAGTATATTGAAAGATATTGCTTTGATGATGATGATGATGATGATGATGATGCATTGTATGTAATATGATGAGATGTTGTTTTATCTAAAAAATAAAGTGATAATGAAGATGATGATGAGGATGATGCATGTCTGTGAGATGTGTTGGTAATGAGGCTATTGTTTATGATGGGGATGATGCTTGATGAATGATGATTATGATATCTGCTAATTTGATGAAGATGTATATTGCACATTAAACTGAAAATTAAAAACAAATTGAAAGAAGAAGAAGTTCGCAACCATACAGTGCCGAAGCATATACAGTATGTTTGATTAATTTACATGAAGTGTAAGTGTGTTTAAAGCTCTTGGATGTATACCGTTCCGTATGAGCCTCATAGTACCACTCTTTATCTTACAACATGCTCTAGAGGTGCGATTTAAATAATTATTTAGACTTGAAAAATGATTTCTTATATTATTTGTTACATTAAATAAGGATGATCTTATGTCATTATATACATTGCATTCAATTAAAAAGTGTAACTTCTAGTAGAATCACAGGTTTGGCGTATCTGCCAGTTTCCACTGCTAGAAGTAGAGAGCCACATCTAAAATTAAAAATTACTGTTCGTTTGCTCTTTTGTCTCACGAGCTTGACATAGTTCTAGTTCTGACCACCTTCAACTAATTGAAGATTTTGTCACGAAGTTGGGTTTATGCAGCACAAATGATAGACTATGTATATCACATAATAATTAATCACTTAGTTAAAGTTAAGAGAAGGACAATTTAGTTCGAGGAGAGTCCGAGAGAGAGGTCCGAGCAAGCCAGTGATTGGGCAGCCCTCACCGACAAAGCTTGTTCGGAAAAGGGGGAAAAGAAGAGAAGTGGTAAATTAGTATGTAAAGAATATATGAATCCGGTATTAACTTTGATTTAAAAGTTCGGTAAGTTCTCAACTTGTTACCCTTTATATAACCACTATCATTCCATATAGACTTGTGCCATTCATCAGCATCTGAAATAATTAATTTCTCTTTCACTCGTCTAATCTTGTGTTTAATAGAAAATGTTGAGTTTACAGTTTCATTTAAAATTTTGTCATCAGTCATTTTCAAAATTCTAGAATTCCAGATTTTGTCAGACTTACTTATAGATGCACTTCACTTGAGTCTGTTATCATCACAATACTTAATTCTTAAAAATAAACATGTCGTTTCTAAAACTTGACTTACATTGCTAGAGTACCATCCCATATCACCTCCGAGTGCTAATTAAGTTATTTGCTCGACGGGAGCTAGCTCCTAGAAGATATCTACTTGCCTTGTGTAGTATGACAGAAACCTCTCGGTATTTATTTATACCCCATAATCCACATCCATAATAAAGAACCGGCTCAATGAAAGTTTTATACAACTTATTAAATACTTCATAGGACATTTCGCCCACATGTGAATATTTTATATATAAAGTATAAAATAGGATTGGGCTCATACATCAAAGCCCGTTTTTTCGGGACGAAAAGACGAAACAAAAAAGAATCAAAGGTAACAAAAGAGTCTTGTTTTAAGACGAAAGTGAGAAATAACGAAATAGCACAAATCAGCATGCTGTACATATGTATGTCGTCATTTAGACCGCACCAACGTACCCCACCCTGGTCCCCCTTCCCCTTCATATTTCAGTCTTAGTGTATAATATATTAAAAATAAAAGTAGAAAAGGAAGCACAAGTTCCTTTTATGTTCCTTCAAAGTCGTTTTTTGAATCAGTAAAAGTTCATGGTCGATGCATTTAATACTAGAAATAAAAATATGGTATTTATCATACATTTTGAATGAAAATGCCATAATTACGCATGTTGGATGAAAAAGATGTTTCACACACACTCAAACAAAAATCAAGAAGTTCTGATAACTTGAAGCAGGGACGAAACACATGAAAGTTTTCGATAAAGCGATGTTAATAAATGCTTGTTCTAAGCCAATGTGAATTTTATCGGTAACAATTTTAGCATCGAGTAAGTCGACTTCACAACCCATCATCAGAAAACTTCACATGCTATGTACGAGTTACCTCCCATCTTACGTTGAAATAAATTGCTAATTCATTAACCAATCAGAAATACGTTTACTTCAGCAGTGTTGCTAGATATAAACAGAAATGGCGGATACAGGTGTGTACTTCGATTTTTTTAAACCGATTTTCCTTCATTTTCAAACATACGTTAGTGCTTTTGTAATGTTTTTTATAGTCGTTGTATGCAATTTGTAGTTTACTCAGATACAATGATAGTTTTATGTTTACTTACGGCGTAGGAATGTTGAAATATTTATATAAAAACTGAGGCGACAAGAATAGACCTGACATTCCTTAAATGTTGAAACATACAATATCGCTTAAAACAGTTAAAATAAAGAAAAACTAAACGCAATTTGTTCATTTGCAAATGAATATGGATTTTACGGATGTATATTATTGATGTACTGTCTTGTATATGCATTATTGACAAGACAGTCATCGAAGCCTACTCTTTTAACATGCATGTATAACATATACATTTAAAATATGTACAGTATACTACAGTACAGTAAAATGATAAAAGAGAAACTTTTTATTTTGCTGACAATATGCAAATCATCAGGATTTCGTTTCTAATTATAATACAAAAAAATAGATATGTGATCGAGTTGCATTTAGAGGAGGAAACACAAATTTTCTCCTCCAGGCATCTGCACTCTTTATTTATTTTCTTACTTATTCTTATATCATGGCTGGAATTGAAACCCAGGGTGTTGGTTAAGTTAATTATTCTTGAAATTCTGTTTGATGTCTAGAAGTTGCAACGCCAACAAAGGCTAAAAGGACGAAAAAGGCTAGACCGAAATCGTCAAAACCTGTCGGAGATGAGGAAGAGATTCCTCTTGGTAAGAGTTAAATGATCATTTGTTTGATAATTCCTGGTCTCCATGTTCAGTGTCCTTAGTTTCCCTAACAATTGCTATCGGATAGGAGTAATATAAATCACTGATATACAGCTGAAACCATAGCTCTGAGCAAGTTTTGTTAATTTCCTGATCAGTGAAAGTCAATGATAACCACGTTCGCTTCTGAATGACTGGGACATCTTCAAATTCTTTTCCAGAGCAACCATTACTGGTCATTCATATTTTGATCAAAGTAAGGATTAAGTTTCTTATAATCTATGAAGATGCACAATATATCAAGACTGTTATTTGTCAAAAAAACAAATTACACTGTATATGGATATCCTTTCAATTAAAAGTTGTAAGAAATGATGACATACAATTATTGCTAATCAGTACTATCATCACCTTTTCATGTTTGCAGCTGATATGAACACCACATCCAAATTTGACCAGCTTTTGCAGCAGGCTGTCGGCCAAGCCACAGAGTAAGTAAACACAGATAACACATATCAAGGTTATATGTTAAATGAAGGCTTAATAATGAAAAGTCATAACATCTGTTTCTAATAACACGTCATTAGTTCCTATAAGCTGCACTAGAAAGTAATACAGTGTACTCTTGTTTGCGGTAAAGTCCTTTAGGCTTGTAAAAAGGTTTATCATGATCGTGGAATGTTGTTCTTCAAACAAAATAATTCAATATGCTATATTGGTATACTCTGACCACATGACTTTTATTTACAGGGGAGCAAAGTCTAAAAAGAAGAAGAAGACAAAGAAAACTGACGAATCTGTGGTATGTAATAGCACTGTTATGAATATACCAGGTACAATTTGTATATTGATAAAGCTGCTTATACAATACCATACAGTAAAATCTCTCTCAGTCAGAATTTCTCTCTGCTTATTTTAGTGATATGTACATGTATTAAAGGATCTACAGGCATGTATAGTTTCGTGTTTAGAATATTAGCCTGCAGACTGATTTTGAAAAGTATCATAAGGCTAACCTATAATGTAGTAGTACCCTTAACCTATGAACATTTTAAGTAATCCAAACATAAAATCTCCAGCCCTGGGCGTCGGGCTTGTGAAATTGTGGCAGCATCAAGTATCAAGATACCAGGTATATTTGACTGAATTGTTATAGAAATCTGAATTTTCAATATGGTAATAAAAATTAGATCCTGATATATTATAAAACTGTTCATATAGGATTGTTATAGTAAAGAATATAAGTTATTGCTCAAGTTAAACTGCGCGAATTTGTTTAAAACATATGTTTATATACTCTCTGCTTCTTTAATGGATGACAAATCAGAAATATTTATTACTTGTTGACAAAGCTGTCCATTTTTTGTTTTCATAACATGCTGGACGAGGAAGAGAGGTTAACATTTTCTTGTTGTTCAGTTGTATATATGTTTGTTTACATATAGTAAGGCAAAGAGGCATATAGTGGAACTAATGGCCACATCATTGTTTAGTGTCAGCACTCCAGCGACTTTATTTATTAACAGATGTTGATTACCCTACACATAAAGGTCAGGCATGAGATATCTAGACAAAATGTATTTCAGGGTTCCAACATCATTGTAACTGATGGTTTTTTTTTTATAGAAAAACATCAATGTATTCAGTATCATTAATGTAGTAACATTAGGGATGCAACGATTCGGGTATATCTCGAATCGATTCGAATCTCGATTTGTGACTTCCGATTCGATTAATTTCGATTCGATTATTAGCATCCAAGAAATACATGATTTTTCAAACATATTTACTAATTTAGATGAGAAGTCAGAAAAAAACGACTTTGTAAATAGGTAAAATTACTTTACTTTTACAAGTTGCAAGTTTATTGCAAAATCATATAAACATTGCAGTCATGCATCAGAGCATTGTAAACAATTAAGTATTTGTCTACTTCTGACATATTGAAAGAAATGTATCACAAAAACTTAACATACATAATCTTTTGACCAGATAGATCCTTGACTAGAAATGAATCAATATTCACAAGTTCTTGAACAAAGATTTATATGATGCGGGCGGGTCGGCTAACTCGTACTCCATGTTTGCAGTAGTTTGCAGTAACAGCAACGCGCAATTTGATTGGCCTACGCAAAGTGTGTTGGCCAATCAAAATCTGCGTTTTAACAGGACTAGGAGTGCGTCTAAATGTGACCGAATTTGTAAGAATCGAATCGAAATATCAGAGTTGTGAATCCAGAATCGAATCGGGAGCAAGTAATCGCGGTTCACCATAATCGCGGTGAATCGTTTCACTCCTAAGTAACGTCCATTTCATAACAGATTTTGATAAAGCTTATACAGAGGGCAAGTATGAGAATACCTTTGCTGAGTTAGTGTTTATGGTGCAAATATCACCATTACTGTTGTAAATTGTCAATCAGTGAAACTAATTTCACCATGGCCTACAGGGCATTCATGTCAATGTCTTACAGACACCTTCTAGTTAAAGGAATGTTTTCCTCCTTGCAGCTGGAGTCACTAAGGAAAGGGGAAGGTCTCCAGAAAGATGAGGATGCAGCCATCAAAGCTAATACCTACGATCCTGGAAATAGCCCCAAGAATGAGAAAAGTAACAAACAAAAACAGAAATTAAAGGAAACAGGTAGGCATATGTAATAGTCAGTTACCATGAAATAGGTAGGTATATGTCAGAGTCAGTTACCATGAAATAGTTAGGTATATGTAATAGTCAGTTACCATGAAACAGGTAGGCATATGTCATAGTCATTAACCATGAAATAGGTAGACATATGTCACAGTTAGTTACCATGAAAAAGGTAGGCATATGTCATGGTCAGTTACCATGAAAAAGGTAGGCATATGTCAGTCAGTTACCATGAAATAGGTAGGTATATGTAATAGTCAGTTACCGTGAAATAGGTAGGCATATGTCACAGTCAGTTACCATGAAATAGGTAGGTATATGTCATAGTCAGTTACCATGAAATAGGTAGGTA